GTTTCAGTGTAGTTGCCGGTTCACGTGATGTCCATATAAGGACCTTTAAGTCTCTGCTACCACTCTTAGCAAAGGGACGGCTTCTTTTAAGTGTCTCGAACTTCCACTTTTTAGGAGTACTGTGCAGTGTGCAGCATAGTCTATAATCCGTATACTCAAATATAAGGTTACTCTCTCAAAAAGCGTTTTCTCAGACGTCTTGAGCGTTTTAGAGTTTCCCTTTTCTCCATTTTAGCCTGTGTGTATCTAGTTTGAGACAGTATTAGATTACTTTATTTGTAAGTATTTTAGTGTTTGCTGGTTCATTTCCGAGACAGTTGCAGTGAATTTAATTTAGTTTACATATTTGCAACTTTACGCTACTTGATTTGCCAGACGCTATCCTTTGTGGAGAAAATGATAATTTTTACCAGTTTTTACGTTTTCTTTGCAGCTGCTCCTCTGATATTGTTGGACCTTCTGTGCTGTTTGCTGATGTCCCAGTTGTTTCCTACACCTTTACATTTTACACATTCCTTGTATAGATCCATTTTTATTTTATTTAGTTATAATATATACCGTCTTTATGTAGTCACTGTCAAGACCACAATCCTCCTCTTCAAATCTAAATAATGTTTCTGACGATCTATAACACACCCATTAGTGCAAAATGACAGCGGATCTGGATAATAAAGCTTCCATCAAGCAAGAAGAAATCTCCTGTAAGTATAAACTCCCCTGCCACCATTTGTATTTTATGAGCATAAAACACCACTATTATCACTGCAGAACAGCCACTACTTCATGTACGTAGTCACCTTTACGACACTTTCAGCCTGTGTTAGGATCCACCGTAATCCATTGTCTCCTAAATATACCACGTGACATTTATACCACGTGACATTTATACCACGTGACATTTATACCACGTGACATTTATACCACGTGACATTTATACCACGTGACATTTATACCACGTGACATTTATACCACGTGACATTTATACCACGTGACATTTATACCACGTGACATTTATACCACGTGACATTTATACCACGTGACATTTATACCACGTGACATTTATACCACGTGACATTTATACCACGTGACATTTATACCACGCGACATTTATACCACGTGACATTTATACCACGTGACATTTATACCACGTGACATTTATACCCTATTGTAGTCGTCGTTTTAATTATAGTTTCTTGCAGAGTTTCAGTCTTCAAAGAGATTGTATATTCTATATAAGTACGATTATAAATCATATGTTTTTTTTACAGAATAAAAGTTATACCCAGGAGGGTTTCCACTCAATATTCACTTTCACATATAACCTGGTTCCAACCTCTTCCAGGTTCCATCCTAAGTCCATCATATCCACGTGACACCCTTATCATCATCACCAGACACACCACTGATAAACTCTCATCCACAATAGGATTTACAGAACATTGTTTAACACAAGATAACAACCCCACACTCTCTCTAAACAATTCTCTCGTCCGCGCTTCATGGTTACCATGGCAACAACCACCCCACGTGACCTCACCCCCTAATCGCTCCCTGGCGAGTCCTTACCCCGGACAATACGTGCAAAATGCAAATGAACAACATTCCTGACTCCATATCACGTGACCAGGGGTCTCATTATCCGGCTATTAACAGCTCATTAACAGCTTTTTGATCTTCCTTGTTGCGAAGTGTTGGTTCCCGCTCCTCAAACTGGATGGTTCTGATCACGGCTGGAAATAGAATGCTAATACTAGCTAAATTTGACCGTTTAAGAATTAAGAGTTTTAAAAAAGTGTTAAGATAAAATCATCCTCTTGTTTGCCAACACCATTACTTTAATTTCCTCTATTTTGTCACTCCCGAAGTGTCTCTGAAGTGTTATCTAGTGTGAACGGTGTACTGGAACCAGGTTCATCATTTCCTGGAAATATAATACCACCTTAATCTTTTTAAATCTGATCGTTTAAAAAAGTGCGCCAATCATAATGGATACTCAGACTGTGTGATCTTTTCTAGATTTCTTTATCCCAGCCATGCATTTACTAAAGCCAAAGGTCGAAAATGTTTGGAATCTAAAAAGGGATTTCTGATTTAATAAAAAGTATAAAGATAAAATCCTCTCCACTCACCTAGTTAAACTTTACCATCTCCTCGACTCCTTCAATTTTATTACAGCACACTTTGTCTAAACCGGTCTAAATTTCCACCAACCAGGGAGCTTAAACACATTTTCTAAACCAATCAGAATGCAAGAATCTGTCACGTGATCAATTACCTGCTTCCTGATATACAAGTATATTGATCATTTCCTTTTGATTAAATTTTTAGGTTACGATGGAAATTTTGCGTATATGCGGACTAAACCTTAATTAACGTGTGATGGTCCAATTATAGCGGAGCCAATACGAGAACGCCCCTTCTGTTCAGTTATAGTGGAGCCAATACGAGAACGCCCCTTCTTATAGTGGAGCCAATACGAGAACGCCCCTCTGTTCAGTGAGGTTGGTTCTGAAGTGTAGGAATCTCCCTGCTGTCTCCCTCATATATTTGCGGGAAGTCCAGTCACTGTCATATATCAGGGTTTAGGTTTTTACAAGTGTGACTTTTAATGCAACGCAGGAAAATAAGCAAATAGGTACAATGCTGACCGGGTATTAGCGGGCTGTTACCGAAACAGCCGTCTCATAACCGTCTAACAGCCGTCTCATAACCGTCTAACAGCCGTCTCATAACCGTCTAACAGCCGTGTCATAACCGTCTAACAGCCGTCTCATAACCGTCTAACAGCCGTCTCATAACCGTCTAACAGCCGTCTCATAACCGTCTAACAGCCGTCTCATAACCGTCTAACAGCCGTCTCATAACCGTCTAACAGCCGTGTCATAACCGTCTAACAGCCGTCTCATAACCGTCTAACAGCCGTCTCATAACCGTCTAACAGCCGTCTCATAACCGTCTAACAGCCGTCTCATAACCGTCTAACAGCCGTCTCATAACCGTCTAACAGCCGTCTCATAACCGTCTAACAGCCGTCTCATAACCGTCTAACAGCCGTGTCATAACCGTCTAACAGCCGTCTCATAACCGTCTAACAGCCGTCTCATAACCGTCTAACAGCCGTCTCATAACCGTCTAACAGCCGTCTCATAACCGTCTAACAGCCGTCTCATAACCGTCTAACAGCCGTCTCATAACCGTCTAACAGCCGTCTCATAACCGTCTAACAGCCGTCTCATAACCGTCTAACAGCCGTCTCATAACCGTCTAACAGCCGTCTCATAACCGTCTTATAGCCGGTGGGCATGACGCACAAGGATCATGGATGGAATTCTCATGTATGGAATTCTCGTGGAAGAATATTGAAAAAATGTTTTCATTAGACGTATCACGTAATCCCAGCAGGTGGTAATCCCAGCAGGTGCACGTAGACTGCTTATTTAGCTACTTGAACGTGTGCAACTTTGGAAGCTGTACACGGTTTGAGCATTTCACTGACAGAGGTCTGCTCATCCTTATTCACCGCTGAAAAATTGTTTCATTCCGAAGCAGTCGCAATTACAAATATTGAGATGTGCGCCACAAACAATGAAACAAATTGTACACAAACATTATGCATTGTGCCCCACAGACAAACATGTTTGCAGTATAAATGTTTTATCATTGATCATTGCTTTGTTCACATTAAGGGCGTTTGCAACAACAGAATGAGAGTACATCAAGCATTAGATTTCTCATCACTTAACCTCTTCAAAATCTGCGACAAAACCAATTAGACCCCTATCATAGTAGGCTGATAAACATCGCTCATATGTATTTTCCATCTGTTTTGTATACTTTCAACACTACTAGGGTAAGGCACGTAATTTTGTCAGGGTACCTAATTTTGTCATTTTGCTCTGAAAAACTGCCTCGGCTCGGAATTTCAGCTTGAAAGAAAAGGTTTGTGTATAAAAAGAAAGCTTAGACTTTGCTGAAACTGCTCCTACAAAGTTTAAGTTTTTAGCTCTTTTGCATCTGTGTCAAAAATGAAGGCGAAACTGTTAACCCGAAAAATAAATAAGATCCTTAAGGTTTTCTTAAGGAATTTTCAAAATTTTGATTTATTGCTATTTCAAAAGTAATTGAGCTAGCTTCATGCCATTGCATATTTCAAATATCTTCTACAGCAGAAGTATACGTACAAATTTTCAAGTCTCTAGCGCAATTATTGTTTAAGTTACAGAGGGTGACAAAATTAGGTTCGATTTTGCCAAAAGTACCTAATTTTGTCAAAAAAATCGACCTTTCTCAAATTTCTTGTAAATCACAGATTGTGTTGAAAATGGCCTTATACAACTATTCTGAAGTTTTTTTGCCCATAGGATATGTATAAGGCACTTATAATAGCATAACACTTATAATAGCATATTTTCGCCGAGGTGGATAATCTGATTTTTTCAATCTAAAATGACTAAAAAAATAATTGATGAAATTACTAAGCAAGTGATCTATCTACAGACATGAAAATTTCAACCTAGACCTAGAACCAATTGTTTTTCAAGATACCAGTGGTTTCAGGGGCATTTGGGGGCTATTTTCTAAGATTATATACCCAAAAAGTGTCATCTTTTCATCAAGCTACAAAACTATGAAAACATCATATCTTTGGGATTTTTGAGGTCAATGTTGGTAAAAAAGCGCTCGAATGATGCATCCAGGTAGTCTAAAATACCGAGAAACGGTTACTTTTTGCACAATCTTCAAGTGACAAAATTAGGTTCGGGGTGACAAAATTAAGTAAAGTCACCTAATTTTGTCATTTTTTCAAAATAATTTTTTTGAACATCTTCAACCCCAGCAATTTCGATCATTTTTGTGATAGAACTTGCCTAGACTGTCTACTATAACATGGTGGAGGTTTCATCTAAATCGGAATTTCAGACGAGGTTAAAACCCATGGTTTATATCAGGCAGTCGGAAAATTGTCAAAAAATGACAAAATTATGTGCTTTACCCTATATAACAAATAATTTGAGCCTGAAGATGGCGTCGACGCCGAAAATTTGCCCTTACTCCTAACTTCCTAGTTTCACTTGTCCTTGTCTCTTCCAACCGGATAATATCTAACTATCAGTATCTGTTTTGTTGTCACAACATCAGTGATTGGCCCATCAGGAATACCCTTTTTACCGTAAATAAAAAATCACTGATAATCAAACCAGTGGTTTATTCAATTTGTATTGCTTTTTTCTTGTGGTCCACTCCTTGTACCGTTACACTCCCTGGGTTATGAAACAGAAATGGCTCTGGAGGTACCCTGTAGAGTGTAGAGACACTGCTGGTGAATGCTCTGTCTTATAATAACCGCTCCTGGACCATAGCCCCCTACAAAGACGAAGAAGAAGATTGCTTGCCCAGGGATAGTTTTAAAAAGAGTCACAACAGTCCAGGTTTACAATTTTCTGATAAAAAATTGTTACCTGTTATTAAGATCCTAGCTATAGACTCTGATCACAACTCTGATCACAACTCTGATCTCAACTCTGATCTCAACTCTGATCTCAACTCTGCCGTTTTCTGACAAAAGTGCTTAAGTAACACAAGGTTCATTTTGTGCAAATTGACTTTAAAGATTTCAATTCTGTAATTGCTCTGGGCTAGCTACTGTCCAATTTAAACTGCACCCACTATGTTTCTAAGGTACTTTGTCGACTTTTGAGACTTCTGACAAGGTTTCATCATCCTAACTTCTCGGAAAGTGCCTCAAAATCACAAATTATAGTTTGAATTTCTTAGAAAAGTGCTTAAGTACAGTCACATCGGCAAATACTACATGTTCTGATGAAAATGACCCGTTCAAACCATTGGTCATCGAAAGTAAAACGAAAAATTAGCCTAAAACTGTTGTGATGAAACATTAGTTGTAAATAGGGGACACGCTAAAATAGAAAATTTAGAAATTTCGTTTTCTGAGAAAAGTGCTTAAGTACAGCCACATTAGTGGGAACTTTATCTGCGATCATTCTGACCTAAAATTTTACGACAAATTGATTGGTGGTGGTTTAAGAACACGAAAACACTCCCTTCTCCCCAGCGGATTAAAAAATAGTCGGAATTCTACCAGCATTTCAACGAAAAGTTGATTGGTGAAAGTACGGGATAATAATAAATAATTTTCTTTCTTTAGAAATTAAATTAAGAACTCAGATGAGGCTTTCTTCATTATAAAGACCAATGATTTGCGAATTATTGATATCGTAACGCGAGGCAAAGAAAAACAAGCGTATAAAAATGTAACATAATTGTTGTACATAAATAAATGGTAAATAATACAAGAAATAGATGATTTTTAGTCAAACACTCGATTAAGATCTGTTATATCTGTACTATCAGGCAAGTTCATCCAGAATACCCTACTACTCGGGGCCATAAGCCTGCACAGTTTACGTATATAATGTCTTGTTTTTTGGGAGTAGCTATCCCCCGGGGCTCTTCCTGGGCGAAAGCTATTTTTCAACCTATGGAAATGAGTCTCTCGTCTTTTTGTCTGAGAAATGGAGTGAAATGAAGGGAAACCTCGTCATGATTTGTTTTCCATTCCATTTCTACAGACCCACGCTGGAAACTTACAACTTTAACATCTTTAGTTTTTTAGTTGCTTGTTCCGTAGGACCTTGGCCACGTTTCAAAGTCTGTGCAGTTCATGCTTATCGCAGTACCCACCTGTTCAACTGCCTGAACAAAGTCCTTATAATCATGAAGTTGACCTGATTGTTTAATGGACAACTCCACTTTATGGTGGAATGAGTCTGCACTCATAAAGGTGTGCACTGGCTCTAGATACTTGACCGTTATCTTGTCCAGGTTAACATCTGGGCTGTTGATAATTGAACATAGGGCAGTAAATAAAGTCCAACACTTGTTTTGAGCAGAACAATTGTCTGCCCAAATCTGCTACCACCAATCTTGCCAACTGGCAAAATGTTTTATTGCCCTTATCCAAGTCGAGGACACATTCTCATCTTTCCTTCCTGCGATTGACTCATTCCAAAGAATCGCTAAAGGAGCTCCGTCTGACCCCAGCCTCGCGAAGGTCTCGTTAAATGTGACAAGGCGTCTTTAAAAAATCGCCTCCTTGTACTCCGGCATGTGTGGTAGTAAAAGAATTTTCTCCATATCAACAGAGAAGGAGCAGTGAAGCAAATCGCTTCTATCTCTTTGGTAATGTTCCCTTGCCTGTCGATAATCCCGCCAGTCTCAACTTATAAGAGAATAAAAAATTTTAGAGCAAATTATGACGTATATTTTGAAACGTTCTGCTTTGACAAATCGGCAATTTTGACGGCGAAGCTAGCGTTTCTGAAGTTTATGACCATCACCAATCGATCCGCCGTGAAAATTTTAGTACTGATTATATAGTTTCAGTTGGCAGAATCAACATTTAATTAAACGTATAATGGCACTTAAGCACTTTAGTGAGAAAACGAGCCCGTTTTCACAAAAGTGCTTAAGTGACATAAATTGTTTTTTCCCAGGCCAAAAGACCCACGATCACCAAATTGCCATCACTAGGCCAGTTTTGGACGTAGAAAACAATGCCACCGTTTTCAGTTCCCGAAATGGCACCATTTTTGAAATAAACGGCACCCGTTTTCCAAAATGTTACTTAAGCACTTTTCTCAGAAAAATGACCATTTTTTGCATTTTAGGGGGTTCCAAAAAGGGGGTTTTGGGGGGTCGGCGAATGTATCCAATGGTCCTCAGGGATAGTTCTTGACCCAAAAACAAAAGTTAGACCAAAAAACCCGAAATTTCCAAAATGTTACTTAAGCAATTTTGTCAGAAAACGGCAGAACTCTGATCTCAACTCTGATCTCAACTCTGATCTCAACATTATACACCAGAAAACCGTTCCTCAAAAACTCCAATCAGATATATACACCAACTAGTACTTCTCATTTGTTATTGAGTATCGTGGTTCTGGTGACACGGTGTTAGGGGTAGGGCCAATCTGCTTATTAATGATACAAGGATACCCAACCTTCAAACTTCCAAAGTAATTGTTGATTTCAGTCTCTGTTACTAAAGTGAAAACTATACCCGCCCAAATGCCCCTTCCTGTCCAATCAGCACTCGCTGTTAACTCACGTGACAGAACCATCCAATCAAACACTGACTGCTTGCCTGGTTACCAAAACAACCAATACCAGCCTCCGCGCATCTGCACGTGCAACAACCGATACACACGTGCCCACAGAACGGAAGAATAAATCTATACAGTGTTAATAGGATTACATGTAACATCAGGTAAAACAGCCACTAAAACCCAGCTGATGAGCCCACGTGACTATTATCACGTGTCACGTGCTTTGTATTTCTAGCTGTGTAACGGTTTCAGTCAATCCGTGAAACTCTCCACTGTTCCAACAGTATACTAACCGTCTAAACACATTATTTATTCGATTTGATGGCGAAAGTTTACATTTGGTGATACATATTATCGGTTGTTGTTAGATACCCCTTAGTTTAAGTTGATTACACGTCTTCCATCCCTGTTCGTGCTGATCCCGCTAATCTGATAAGGAGGAATAATTATCCGTTCTGAGATGTACATCACAGGTAATTACTTAATTACCAGTGCAATTACCGCCGTGATTAACCACTTGACTTGGTGTGTTGTTCAGCCCTTAACTTAATAATTGCATTTACCCCAAATCGAATTGTTCAATTTTCGAGTAATTATTGTGGCGAAAATTTAATTTATGAGCTTCATGCTGGTTTTGACTTTGAGAGTAATGGAGAGAGTAATATATTGAATTATCCACTGCTGGCTACTGTCATAATTTATAATTTGTTGATTATTGTTAGTTTTGTGTGGTTTATGAAGGGGGTGATTGGTAATTGTGTTATCGGTTACTTGTAATCGGATTTGTTACCTAACTTAAGTTGTTTCAAATATTAGGGTGGGACACAGTGTTTCGTGGAAACAAAATTTCGTGGAAAATTTCGTGGAAATCGTTAACTGGGTTTGGGTCTTAATGGGTTAAGATAGTGTATGTTTTAGACACGTTTATCAAACCTTCCTCGAACGTTTCTCTGCGATAAATTTGATTCATTTAAAAACTTTTAAACCCAATTTAAACATATTAAACTAGACTTATCAGATTTTATTCTGCTTCTTTTTAACATAAACGCAAGCCTCGTTGTTTACCAGGTACTGGCCTTCTAATCTCGTATTGAGTTTTTGGTTTGATGTTCTTGAGCCCTCACGATCTACATAAAGGAATGCATCGAAAAGAGACTAGCCAGAATGTTATCAACTTTTTAAGTTCTTCATTACAAATCAAAAATTGAACAAACTTTCCTTGATAATCACCCGTCTATAGTTTTATTTTTAGAAAATATAGCAGTTGTTTAGCCTTCATGGCAAACCTGAATTTAGCATAGACGCATTCAAGAAGCGCTCGTGACAATTTCCCGTTTATACTTTAGTAACAAACGTTTACCGCTAGGCGACGTCATGGCAACTTTTACCGCTAGGCGACGTCATGGCCGGTGGAGAATTGAATTTCACGATTATACGTATTGGCCGTTTATAGGTCATACCCATTGGCATTACCTCATGCCCAAATTTCCTAAATTCACTCAAAGCATGTAAGACCAGGGAGTGGTCTGCAAGTTTATTGTTTTGACTCTCACCACTGACCCCACCACTGACCCCACCACTGACCCCACCACTGACCCCACACTGACCCCACCACTGATCCCACCACTGACCCCACCACTGACCCCACCACTGACCCCACCACTTTTTCAGGCTCGGTAGTCTCCACCACCACATTAGTGGGTAATATAAAGGAAGAGCCCGGTTCTGGTCAAGGTGGTATCACCGCTGAGAGAAGTGCTAAACGAAAGCAACGACGTAACAGGTACAACTACATTTACTACATATGCATATTTGTGTCTTATATAATATATATCTACCATTTATAACTTTATAATATCCCAATATTGGAACAAAACTAACTGGTCTTAGACAACCTATTTAAGTATTCACTTTTGAAGTATTAAATAGAATAATAATATAGTTAGAATCAATTTATTCGTTATTTCCCATTCCCTTGATAAACCACTACCAGGACCCAGTTCTCAACCTACCAGTTAGACCAGCTAGAAGCAGAGTTTGACAAGTCCCACTACCCTGACGTTCTGACCAGGGAGGAGCTGGCTAATGGATTAGATCTTACTGAAGCTAGGGTCCAGGTAAGAACATTGTTCATGTCAAAGTGAAAGTGAAAGTGAATGTGAAATGATGTCGCGTACTTTGAACTTTTGTTTGGCCTGTATTATGTTTCAGCGATGGTAATTATACAAGGTCGTTTAGTACGTTGTTTTGTAAATCTAACTGGTGTGAAGGTGTTTGAAAAGAATTGTGCACGTGGTTTTTACTCACAATCAGCCCATCGTCACGTGAGACTGATTTCAAAACTCTACTCGAAATTTCACACTTTCGTGAAAGACTGAAAATTGTCAAAATTGCGTGAAATTCGGCGAGTTTATAACTGTATAACCGGAGAAACTGTGTTTTTAACGTACATTTCAAGCCCCGCTTAGTTTAGAACAAATTTCAAGCTGAGACGCATCTGTTGCCATCTGTTGACTGGTACGGACTTTATTAACAATTGAGTAATAATTGAATAGCTACTCCGTACAATATCCCGACTCGGTGGTGGTCTTGAATTAGAAATACTATTGTGCACATAAGTATTGATAATGAGTAGCACAAAAGTAGTGTATAGGTAATTTATAATTACCTAATTTAAATTAATCAATGAGTTAATTATGAGTAAACAGATACAAATATTTGGGATCATTCGCATAATTATTCTTCACAGTCACTCTACTATCACTTACTTACGGATTTCGTCTATTAAAACCGGAAAAATGTAAGAAGTTTGTAGATGATTAGAAGGCATATAACAAACGGGTCATCAACAATTAAATTCAAAGAAATTGTGATTTCTCCACCAATTAAACACATCAAAAGGATAAAGTCGAGTCAAAACAATCACTAAAAAACAGCGCAAAAAAACGGGCAGAGCGAAGCAACAAGACCAAACTTTATAAAACAGTATAATGATAATAATGTTACCTTGTGTTATATTACATTAAGTGTACTTATAAATCAATAAACTTATAAAGGAAAGAATTTAACCTTATTAGAAGGCTTTATTGAGGCCTGGTGAGATTCCAGCCCAAGTGATGTCAGCTCGCACAATGTTGTTGCTTATTAATCTTTCTAAACCTTGCTTCAAATTTAAATTCGATCACCGGATAATTTAAAACATTTAGGTATTACAAACTTTAACGAGATTAACGAGGTTTTCTCAGTTTAGTAATTGGTGCTGATGGAAACCAATTCGCACTTTTTCAATATCCAAGATCTGAATAAAGGCACTGTCTGAAATACCGAGCCTTAATCATGACTTTTTATTGGCCACACCTTGACTGCCTCATATCATGTCAATTAACTAATAATAATATGAAAATTGTTCCCGGCGCAAATTTATGGACTTTAAGGTTTTTAAAAATTAAAACATCAGGCCCAACTTGTGGCCATGTAGTGAAGCTGTAAACGTGATTTAATTGGTTAGCTTGTATCACGTGGTGTGAATACTGTGCTGTGATTGGATAGCTTGTATCACGTGGTGTGAATACTGTGCTGTAATTGGTTAGCTTGTATCACGTGGTGTGAATACTGTGCTGTGATTTGATGGCTTGTATCACAGAACCATAAGTGGCGCAGAACCACTTATTCTGATTGGTCTAAACTTCTCCTCTCTTCAGGTTTGGTTCCAGAATCGTAGAGCGAAGTGGAGGAAGAAACAGAGAGAGGCTGATATGAGTAATACTGGAGCTGCTACTAATGTTAACAGACTTATATCAGGTGAGACTTGTTGCTTAGCAACACTCCTTAGCAACACTCCTTAGCAACACTCCTTAGCAACACTCCTTAGCAACACTCCCTTCTTTTAGCAACACTTCCTTTTGCTGCTCAGTTCCCAGCGCAACTTTGCGAAGTTTAAGATTAAACATTTTTTAAATATCAAACTTTAAAAATTTGCGCTGGAAACTATTTTGAACAGTGAAATAGCGAACAAAGCCTCCCTTTAAAGTTTTATTAAAATGTTTAGTCCGTGTCTGTGTAGTGAAATCATCAGAACTCATCAGCAATCTCAATTAACCTATTAGATAATTAATTAGCGTACATCTCAGGGTTACCAACAGAATACACACCAACAGCAGAACCGTGGACAATGAACATTCCTACCATATCTCACAGCATCCCCACCAGTCACTACAGGTAATTACTGGTCGGTATTTTTACAGTTTTCAAACTGGTATGTGTTCCGCGATGATAAAGAGTTGAAATATTTCGACCCAAAATACCACTTGTTTGGTGAATTACAGATAAGAGTTAAATTTGGAACTGGGGATTAAACACCTCAAGCAAATTGACGTTCCGCAAATAATTATTATTCAGTCCAAGATTGGATACTCAAAATCATGTGACTGTGTTGAAGCTAGGATTAAACCTCCTTTTTAAATCTCCCTAAATGTAGCCCTATTATCCCCAGTTTTGGAAGCGTGGTACCCTACAGTACGAGCGCCTCTCCCAGCCCCATGTTTCAGGCTCCCAACTTCACTAATCTCTACAGCTCAGGTACGGCTCACATTTTACTTTATTTTATTTAAATTGAGGTTATGTGTATAAGGTATCATACCGTTACTTTTATTTATACCTCCAATAAGAGAGGAAAATTCATGAACAATCGCACACCACCTTTTGCCATCTTCAAAATATCTTGCAATATCTGGTATTAATAACTTTATAATAGCTACTAAGAATAGTATGGGACCATATTATTAAACTTGCACCCCCCCCCCCCCCCCCCCCCCTTTGTATCAGCTCTCCAGATCCACCCTATAACATTCACCAGAAGTCTGAACCAGCTACTTCCAACTAGTTTCACAGCTACCACACAAGTCCCCTCAATATACCTATATCACAGTTCAATTAACTCAAATTTTCGCGGAAAAAGTGGTGCCATCACGTGCGTGTTTTCCCAGTCACATGACACACCAAAACTAGGCCACGTGCCCAGTCACATGACACACCAAAACTAGGCCACGTGCCCAGTCACATGACACACCAAAAATAGGCCACGTGCCCTTGGGAGTTTACTGCTAGCGACCATTTTTAGGATTCCCCCGAGACTGTGTGTGTGTGTTTGGTGGGAGAAAAGTGTGCTGTTCCCTGGTAGTGTTTTAGAGGGTTTCTTGCGAGGGTGTCGGAGCGGGGCATTTAGCTGGTGTGTTTATAGTTAATTTATAGTCTATTGAAATGGACTGTGTGATTAACTTCTTACTTGGTAAGTTGTTATGTTTGGTGGTTTAAGTTATGTCTTACAAAATTGGAGAGCAAAAATTGTAAATATGTTAGACCGGATAGAAGGAGTAGACTTGGATCGAACGTTTTGGTAAATTCCAAAAGTTTCTGGTCTTATAATATAAGTAGTCTGCAGTTTGTACAACAATATATTATATCCTTTCGTCACCTCGTGATTAGGATTCGGGGTTAAATTTTGTTTCAAAAATAATTGAGTAAAGTAAGTGCAAGTGAATTGTTGGTTAACATTCAATATAACTCCTTGAAACTGGTTACTTGAAACTGGTTACTCGATCAAAATACGGTTAGGCGAATGCCACGCATCGGTGAAATGTTGCTTTTAAAAGCCCCTTCACTTAAAGATATGACACTCACATGACAGTTACCGCACGGATATTTTTGAACAATATGATAATATTTTTGAAGAATGTGATAATGTAAGGTGGTGACCTATTTAAACTTCAATCACCTGATCATTCATGTCTCGTAAACATGCCTTTATCTCGCTCAAATATTCGAGTGACAACAGAATTTTCAAACGGTAAGCCCTTTTTGATATTGCGATAAGAAAATTAAGTTAGCCAGCCTACTTAAAAGCGTGAGCTGGGAGGTCAACAGAAGTTGGGATGAATTTTAAATTATCACCTGATAAAGTGGCATACGAGGTGTCAATTTTTACGTTAAATCCGAGTTATAAACAACTAATGAAGTGATTTTCTTCATATACAGTCACTTTTATCTTGTTTCAAGTTAACCAGACATGTACTGAAACTGCAGTGACCTAACATTCAGCGTGCTAACTAATTCTACACTCGAATTTCGAGATGTTTCTAAAAGGGCCTCCAACAGTTGAAACTTTACTGTGAATCGATGTATTTTTAAACGCTGATTCCGAATCACATGACATAGGGTTAAAATGCTCGCCTGAGGAGTTATCTGCGAAAAACTGTTTGATAACGTAACATGACGTCATATCAGAGAAGAGGGTTTAATGTTTTTAATAAGTGTAAAGTCCCTCAGGGCCATCTAGAGAACATGTAGTAGTCACGTGATATTCGAGTGTAGAGTAATTAATCATCATCGACCTAACATACATATTTAAAAACTATTGTATCGTTATCGTCCCGTACCCCACCGAAATCTAAACATTTGTGTACTTTCAGGAGGACACTTCTACAACAACACGGGCAATTCCCTGAACAACACCTCCCACCTCCACTCTCCCACCTCCCACCTAACAAACTACCAGCACCAAGGCAGCGTCCCTCCCTCCCTCATCCCCAACCAGCGCTCTCCAAACCCCCTCTCTACTCTACAGACCCCTCCTGCCACATCCCCTCCAAATCTCACTACCTTTGGTGTAGGACACTTGACAGGCAATATTCCTGGCAAAATCCCCGAGTGGCAGAGTCAGAGTATTGAGCTACTGAGAGCCAGTGCCACCACTGTTAAGCCCACTAAAGTGGAACCTGGGCTCCCACATAATGGGTACCAGATCCCGGCACGATCCTCCACGTCATGACGAAACTTAAACACAAGGAAATGTTTTGTTCAGTAGATTATGTTGATGTTGAGGTTAGCAGACGATGATGACGTGTGTTTTGACCTATGTGAAACACAAGGAAATGTTTTATCCGGGTTAATGTTGTTGGTGTGACGTATAATGGAAAAAAATGGGAAGGTGTAAGAATAAGTGCTTCTTCTAGGAAATCTATTACAATTCCTCGCTTTCTATGGTAAAGTGACGATTATTTTTATTTTCAAACGTATTTTGATCTTGTTAAAGTTATATAATAATGAAATATGACATTGTGGAGATTGATTACAAATTGGTAGATTGATATTTGAGATAACACGAATCTCTCCGTTACCGATTTAATTTTACATGATGGTAATCACGTGTTGTTTTTCTTGTTTTACAACTGACAACTTATCTCACGTCGTGACCCTCATCGTCATTTTATTTACTGGGCCGCGCTCAGCCTGTCATTCCGCCTAATCTCTATTCGGTTGTTTACCAACATTAAAGCCTGGGGTCCTCAGGTAACATTTTATTTGATAAAATAATAATACCTTGTATCACGTGGTGACCCCCACTGTCGCTTCACTGTAGAGTTTCGACGATACAGGGGGAGCCGCGCACTCGTGCGCGGCGGGTCATACAACGTATGACAAATAATACCGTGGCGAAAGCCACGATACGGCTGCGGCAGGCCTGCAATGTGAGGCAACGAACAACTACAACCGTACAACGATCAGAAAATTTTGGGCTATTTTGAAGAATTGGGTATGATGCCGCATAAACCAATGATTTTGAGGAAAAATATGTCCGTGAGTAGTTATGGGTAAAAATCTGTTTTCAGTTTTGGTCATGTGACAGGATGGACAATTATGCATGACTTTGATCACCAATCACCATTTGCAGAAAAAAAAGTTGGCAAGAATCAATCATCAATGGTATTTTGTTTTTTATAAGTTAAAACACTTAGAAAGTCCCTTCAGCAAGAATGTAGTCTCACAGGGATAAGCGACAGGAGTGACCTCAGAAAAAGTATCAACCATCTCAAACGTACCATCAAAAAGAGGTTGAAATCCATCAACGAGGCCACTGCTAACGCCCTAGTAGATGTCATCAACAACACCGACAGCTGCAGAAGCATGTTTGAAGCGAATAGAACTTTGGCCCAGTGTAGGAATAGGATGAAGAAAGACGGAGTGACTGTCCACGATGCAGACGGGAACACCTTAGGTTCTGACTCATTAAAAGCAGAAGCTATTAAAGAATACTTTAATAATGAGTTCAATGACAAAGATGAACCCCACCTCCCAGCATTCATAGACCCTCCTGGAAGCCTCCTCTGTCCCATAACACCTGAAGAAGTTGGCCGTGCTGTTATGAAGCTGAAATCCGGTAGAGCGTGTGGCCCTGACGGTATACCTAATGAGCTAATGAAAGCTGCTGGATATCCCCTCCACTGTGAGTTGGCTAGGATCTATAATCTCTCCTTTGAGACCAACACATACATCCCAGCTATTGGAGAAGGTATCCTGACACCCCTTCAGAAGCCAGGAAAACCCCGAGGTCCGATAAAGTCTATCCGGCCCCTCACATTGCTAAATGGAACTAGAAAAGTCCTATCCCTCGTAGCCTTGAACAGAATCAATTACCACGTTGATATGTACACTGGACCTTGGCAGGCGGCATACAAGCAGGGTCACAGTTGTGCTGACCTGGTATGGTCTCAGAGAATGTTGACATCAGTGGTTACCAGGCGCGAGTTTGAGTATAGTAAAATCAACATTGACATGACCGCTGCGTTTAATACTATCCGCAGACAGACCATCATCAACCTCCTCATTGATGCAGGATGCTCTAGAGACGACATTCGCCTAGTTCAGTACCTCCTCTCAAATACAAAGCTCAAGGTGACGGTCAACAGATCTGAGTCTGGTGAATTTGTGATTAATATTGGCGCTTACCAGGGAGACAGTCTGGCAGGTAAAGTGTTTACATTGACCCTTGCCGGTGCCCTGAATCACATCAGAGCCGTGATCAGTGTCACGATTCCTAGACCGAACCCCCCAGTCTCTGATAGAGGCCTCCCGTTAGAGTCCGCCTATGCTGACGATGCTGAGCTTCTGAGTGAAGATGGTCAGAGCCTGGTGAAGATACTATGTACTAGAGATTGCCAGTGATATACTAAAGGATTGGAGTCTCTTTGTTAACGAATCAAAGACGGTGTTTACAAGAGTGTATTTGGCAGATACAGATGCTTTAGATGCCCATGGCAATAAAATTAGAGGAGATGAAGAGTGGCGAGAGTCAGTGCTATTAGGATCAAAGCTCTGCTCAGAAAGAGATATTGTCAACAGACGCAACAAAGCCAATGTTGCCTTCTACACCTACAAGAAAGTCTGGTTGAATAGTTCTGTTCAGATCAGTGAGAGTAGAAAGCTGAAGCTGTACGAAGCTCTTGTCACTTCAGTGTTGTTGTATAACTGTAGCAGCTGGGCTGCTCCCGAAACCGTAATGGCATCTGTCGACGTTCTTCAAAGGAAGCATCTGAGACAGATAATCAACACCTATTGGCCTACGGTTATCAGTAACGAGAATTTATATAAGAGATGTAATGTCAGACCCCTTACTGAAAGGATCAAGAAAGCAAGATGGAAGATGCTTGGGCACGTTCTCAGAAGCGGTGATGACACTCCCGCCTTCTTATCTTTCAGATTTGCATGTTTAGGATGTTTTGACTACAAAGGAAGGAGGGGCAGACCTCGTTCAAATTTATTTGATTTATTATTAAAAGACATTATGACAAAACAAATTATTGTGATTGTAAATAAAAGATTTAGTTTAAGTAATTTCAACGATTTAGTGTACAAAGCTCATGATAGACGTCTTTGGAGAAGTTATGGGTGAGTCGAGACTACTCGGCCACTCGATTTTATGATTTAATTTCTATTATCTTGTGTTTGCTGTAAATAGTTGATTAATAATAATAATAAATAAAACACTTATAAATTTGGCCACTACGCATGGCATTGTGCATGTTTGTGGGGCACTTGATCTCTCCAATTAAGGAGAGATTACGTTGGCAGTTGGGTTCACGTTCCAGAAACTGTACCTCTTGAGATTATTGGGTCGTACTAGAGTCAAAGTGTGGCGCGCCAATATCAAACTTTTTCACAAACATAATCTGAAGCTTTTAATTGTTACCACGGTAATCCCTACGGCTTTAGTTTGACAATCATTCAAATTAATAGGCTTGGGATAGGAGTTCTGAAACTCCACGTCGAATTAGCATCGCGTCGGGATTTTTGTCAATTAGGGTTACTGGGCGGCGATCAGCCTGAGCCTGTCAATTGTCATTCCACCGAATCTTTATTCATATGTTTATGAACATGATAGTCTCAAGTCTGGGGTCCACAGGTAACATGCTAGGAAAAATTAATTAAAATTATAAAAACTTGTGAAACAAGCTCGTCACGTCACGCAGAACGCGTAGACTCATGGCTATTATATTCACATAGCCACGTGTATACGTACGCGCGCGCGTACTGCGTGACGCGCTTACGTTTCACAAGCGCTGGTCGCGCGCTACTGCAAGCGAAAGGGCTCTGCATGGTTAGAGCAAGCTATCATATATGTAAAAGTATCATTCGTTTTACACGGGGACCTCAGCTAGGCTATCATGTTCATATACAAACATAAATAGAGATTTGTACGTTCCTTGTAGGTTTACAACCTACCAGGACGCGCGCCGAGTTGGACTCGTCGACGGTCCTGTGGAATATATATGGAACAGATATTTTACGAAAATCACCCGTTAATACGTTAACAACCTACCAGGATGCGCGCCGAGTTGAACTCGTCGACGGTACTGTGGAATATATATGGAACAAATATTTTACGAGTATCACCCGTAAAATAGAGATTAGGCGGAATGACAGGCTGAGCGCGGCCCAGTTACACCCGTTAAACGTAAACGTATTTCTCCGTTCTTGTAGGTTTACAACCGTCGACGGAAAGTTATACATTACTCAATATTACTACCCTCTCCTAAAATTTCACCTGGTCGCCCCCTAAAATGTCATTTGATCAGATTCTGGCTTTGAGACTACAAGCACCATAAAATAAAAGTACCAGCCTATTAAACATCATATTTAGCATCTAATGGTAATATTGGAAAGCTTTGGCAGCTCAAGGAATTAGTTTTATTTTATTAATCGCAATAAACATCCCCTAAAATGTCTAATTATCCCCCCTAAAATGTCATTTTAACCTGATCAAATTACTCAGGCTTTTCCTAAGATGCAATGCATACTCACATTTCGTTAATAGTTGATGTTAATAATTAACAAGTGCCAAAACAAGAGCTATTATCGCACACCATGCGAACAAAATACAAATTTGACATTTTAGGGGAGAAAAAAATGACATTTTAGGGGGCATATCATAGGTTTACCATAAACTAGTAAGTACCAAAAACCGTAGTTTTTGACATTCAATTTTGCTAAAAACAGTCAAATCTAGTCTATGGAGAAGGTCAGATTGATTACTGGGTTGGCTTAGTTAACTACAGGTCACTAAAATTGCCAAGATGCAGGATGATGTTAAAAATCCCAAAAAATGCAATTAAAACATGCAATTTGCACAAGGCTAAAATCACATTGAATCCATTTTTTGTGCCAATTGTTAGTTTATAACTAAATAATCTAACTACAGGTATTAATTTTGTTGACTGAGTTACTGTTTTGCCGTAAGTTCTGGGTATTCAAAAAAAAAGTCCCCAAAATGTCACAAAAAGTAAATTGACCATTATTTCACCATTTTTTTTCAACAGAGAGAGAAATTCTGGTTGACACCTCTCAGAAATAGGTTATATTTGTCCCAGAAGTGGTTAAAATTAATAATTGAGCAACATTCTGAGTGCTACACAACCTGTTTTAGCTGACGTTTTAGGGGTGGTGCACGTGACATTTTAGGGGGTGATTACGGTTTTGAGGTACTTCCTTTAGTGAGTGAATGTTTTCAAGTAGCTTAATGTTTTAATAAGACAAAACAAATAGTACTAGTGACAAAAGATAAATCAAGCCTCTTGTACATTTTGTAATTATCACACATATAGAGTTGACATTTTAGGGGTGGTGTTTTAAAAGTGACTCCATTTCAACGTCAAAAAATTGTACCTGATTTTATTTTCAAATTTCCAAATCTTCCTGGCAGGCTAGAAAAAGGTTTAAATATTATTCCTAGACACTTCAGAACCCTGTAAATTTAGCCCTAACTCGGCAATCTGGGCCCAAAAAACAGGTGACGTTTTAGGGGGGCTTACCCCTAGTAAGGACAGTTATGTTGTAGTTATCTTTTGAGACCTGCTCAAATTAATTAAAATATTCTAGATTGACTCATAAATTTAAATTTTGTACACATTGTGATATTTTTTGGATCAAGGCACACATTTGAAAACGACATCAAATGCTTACTAAGACATTACAGTGCTGCCTTAGGTAAGGAATTATTAGGCTTTATATAATATATATGGCATAACAGTAAATCTTACCAGTTTTTAACTATCTGTTCAGGTATTGAGTATGTAATCTTTATACGATGAGGTCCTCGACCAGAAGAGTATTCAAATCAAAATTATCATAGCAGGGGTTTTATGTTACTGAAAGTAGCGGTGTTGTGCTGCCTTACATTTGCTGTAACATCCAAGAAAGCAAGCAAAAGTGAGCTGGTTCAAATAAAAGATTTAAAAGACTGGAAAAAAGAGCTCCGAACAAAGAAAAATGTTCTTGCACTTTTTACAAAGGTAGATAATAGAGTAGGGGAGCTGAATATATATGTTAAATTGCTGTTAAAAATGAAGTTAATTATTTCACACACAACTAACTAAGTAACTAGGTCTCATTGGTTTTTTTCTCTATTGATTGAATAAAAATGTATATTGCACTGAACTGTGGCTAGCATCCAAAATTTTGTGAAAACAGTACAAATAAATAGATAATAAATAAATAAATATCACACGTGAATGATTTATTAGTAATATATAATAATTATTATTATATAATAAAAGTAAGTAAAAGTAATATTTATTCACAGGACAGTAAGCAGTCCAGTCAGTTATTGAAGGTGCTTGACAGCGTGTCTATAAAGATGAAAGGAAGAGCAACGGTGATCAGTGTCGACTGCACTGAGGCTGCCAAAATGTGTAAAAAGCTCAAGGTTTGACATTATGATTACTGATGCTGCCAAAATGTGTATAAAGCTCAAGGTTTGACATTATGATTACTGATGCTGCTAAAATGTGTATAAAGCTCAAGGTTTGACATTATGATTACTGATGCTGCCAAAATGTGTAAAAAGCTCAAGGTTTGACATTATGATTACTGAGGCTGCCAAAATGTTTAAAAAGCTCAAGGTTTGACATTATGATTACTGATGCTGCCAAAATGTGTAAAAAGCTCAAGGTTTGACATTATGATTACTGATGCTGCCAAAATGTGTATAAAGCTCAAGGTTTGACATTATGGTTACTGATGCTGCCAAAATGTGTTTAAAAATGTGTAAAAAGGTTTGACATTATGATCTCATTTCATGTTTGCTATCCCATTCCATGTAACAAAGTTCAAGGTGATACCAATATTAGAAATGATATTATTTTACCCGAGCTTTTAATCGTTATTTAAAGTGACCTTATTAGCCTAATAAGGTTATTAGGATTATAGTATAATACCTTATAACAAAATTTTAATTTCAGATGTCACCAAAGCCTTACCTTCTCAACCATTACAACAACGGAGAATTCAACAAGGAGTACGACAGAAAACAGACAGAGGAGTCTATGGTATGATTGGTTCATTTTATTTGAGCTTCAATTTTCCAATTTATAAACCATACATGATATTCCATTCTCTTCATGAAATGTGTTAACACATAAGTGATTTATTCGGATAAACTACCATCTGAAACTCTACAAATCACTCTAACTTCACTCTAACTTCACTCTAACTTCACTCTAACTTCACTCTAACTTCACCCTAACTTCACTCTAACTTCACTCTAACTTCACTCTAACTTCACTCTAACTTCACTCTAACTTCACTCTAACTTCACTTTAACTTCACTCTAACTTCACTCTAACTTCACTCTAACTTCACTCTAACTTCACTCTAACTTCACTTTAACTTCACTCTAACTTCACTCTAACTTCACTCTAACTCGCAGGTGTTGTTCTTACAAGATCCGATGGGAGACGTTCCTTGGTCTGAAGAGGAAGCTTCTAAAGATGTAATGCACCTCGATTATCAATCCTTCAAACGGTCAGTCTTCTTCTTCTTCATCAATAAGCAAATTGACAGTTTAATATTGAAAGTGGTAGAATGGTTAACAGTCTGAATCACAAACGTGGTTTACAGAACAGCTCTCTTTAAATCTGCTGTTTAAATCAAGTATGCTAAATGTAATGTGTGAAATATCAAACGAACCAGATTTCCACTTCATAATTAAATTATAAACAGGTTACTGAGAAAGACAGAGCTGCCCATATTGACCATGTTCTATGCACCTTGGTGTGGACATTGTAAACGAATGAAGCCTGAGTTTAACGGAGCTGCTACTGCTATGAAAGGTGAGAAGTATTATTAATAGTAACAAATGATCTAAATATTCTGATAATGACATGGTTATGACATGGTTATGACATGGTTATGACATGGTTATGACATGGTTATGACATGGTCATGACATGGTTATGACATGGTTATGACATGGTTATGACATGGTTATGACATGGTTATGACATGGTTATGACATGGTTATGACATGGTTATGACATGGTTATGTAGTAGTGTGTAGTGTGTGTAGCTTACGTTGCAATTATCGAGCTCTCTTATCTTTTGTAACTTTGCGATAAGTTCAGTTTGCTGCTACCGCGTAGTAAGCCTTTGCGTGTGTATACTTGTACATTACTATACAATGTACACCACGGAGGATGATTTACATTTGACCCGATCTCAGAAGAAACTCAAGGATTTCAACTATGAAGAAAAAGAAGATGTAGAGGGCTGTGCTGATAGATGGTTCACTTCGATGGCAAGACAACTGAAATTAGAAAACTTCGAAATTCGTGGAGATATGGACCAAGAAATACTCATGTCTCCGTCTATCTATAAAAGGTATATGGCAGAATGGGTTATGCAAGCAGCAGACCTCGTACGACGGCAGAGTAGTCAGATGAGCGCTATGATGGAAATCGTTGAGTGCCTCAAGACGGAAGCACTAGCAGACAAGGAAAAGATGGTCAGGTTGCAGGACCAGTTGCTAGTGCAGAAGGACGAACAACTACAGTTGTTTAAGACGTCAGTTGAAGAGACAGTACAAACAACGGTGGAGACAGGGATTAAGAGCTACAGTGCCGCGGTACAAAAGAACAGCACAAATGGCGCGGTCTGCAACAGTAAAATTCTGAAGAATGTAATGAAGAGTGTGGCTGCAGAGGAGGACAGGAGCAAGAATCTGATAGTGTTTGGACTGAAAGAAGAGGATGGAGAACAGCTTCCAGCTCTGGTAACCGCAGTATTGGAGGAGATCGGGGAGAAACCTCATTTTGAAGCGACTAGAGTCGGCTGGAAGAGGCCAGGTATCACGGCTATCCGACCAGTCAAGATCACCGTCCCAAGCTCAACAGCAGTTCATCAGATTCTGATGAAAACAGGGAGACTGAGGATGGCTGATGCACACAAAGATGTATGGATCTGTCCTGATAGATCCAGTGAAGAGCGTGCAGCAAGGAAGAACGTGGTAACTGACCTGAAGAAGAAGAGGACTGAACAGACTCATCTCGACCACTACATCCGTAACGGGAAGGTCTGTAGCCGGGTTAAGAAGGCACCATGATGACGTAATTCATGTTTCTCGGACACCGATCAGTATAATATGTACTTGTAGGAGTATTTTAAGAGTTTACGGACGTTATCTGTATTTGAGAGACAATTATATTATATAAATACATTATTATTTGATTGTTTCACACTTTTCACGTTTCATAATTTATTACTAGGTGGAGGTGATGTTATTGAGACTTTGGGCGGCCAAAAAACTCCTGTTCTGAAAGTTGTCCTCTGTACTTGTTTCACTGACCCACGCTTTTTAGCATTTATACATTTCGGCCTATTTTATATGTTTGTTCGAATTGCTGTACATTTGTATACTTGCTATTTTGTAAAAGTTTCAAATCAAATCATGACATGGTTATGACATGGTTATGACATGGTTATGACATGGTTATGACATGGTTATGACATGGTTATGACATGGTTATGACATGGTTATGACATGGTTATGACATGGTTATGACATGGTTATGACATGGTTATGACATGGTTATGACATGGTTATGACATGGTTATGACATGGTTATGACATGGTTATGACATGGTTATGACATGGTTATGACATGTTTATGACATGGTTATGACATGTTTATGACATGGTTATGACATGGTTATGACATGGTTATGACATGGTTATGACATGGTTATGACATGGTTATGACATGGTTATGACATGGTTATGACATGGTTATGACATGGTTATGACATGGTTTAACATGGTTATGACATGGTTTTACATGGTTATGACATGGTTATGACATGGTTATTCTAGTCTATGACCCAAATTAGATATTCTTACAAAATGTAAAATTCATAACCTTATTTGTAAAGCTCCCTCCTCCGCAGGACGTGCACTGCTGGTAGGTGTTAACTCGGACGGTTCACAAGGAACAGGTCCATCTCAAGAGTACAACGTGTCCAGCTTCCCTACTATACTATACTTTGAGAAGGGAACTTTCAAATACAAGTTTACTGGACAGAGGACTAAAGATGGTGAATTTTATTTTACTATTTACAATAAGTAGCTATTAAATAATGTGTTAATGTTGAGTAATAATTTGTAGCTGTTCAGTGTTTAAACACATAGCAAATAATGGGAAGCTGCCTGTTAGAGCGTCAGGGTCCTTGTTAGGTAAACAGCTAGTTTGTAAACAGCTAGTATGTAAACAGCTAGTCTGTAAACAGCTAGTTTGTAAACAGCTAGTTTGTAAACAGCTAGTTTGTAAACAGCTAGTCTGTAAACAGCTAGTTTGTAAACCGCTAGTTTGTAAACAGCTAGTCTGTAAACAGCTAGTTTGTAAACAGCTAGTTTGTAAACAGCTAGTCTGTAAACAGCTAGTTTGTAAAAAGTTAGTTTGTAAACAGATAGTCTGTAAACAGCTAGTTTGTAAACAGCTAGTTTGTAAACAGCTAGTTTGTAAACTACTCCGTCTACTTAACCTGAAATACTTTTATCTTGTATATTAACTATAGTGTTACACACATAATTACTAACTGCATGCTCCACCTCCATTGCTGTATAGTAACTATATATATACGTATTATATCATATTATATTATAGTAACTATGCTATGTTGTGTAGTAACTATGATATATTGTATAGTCATGTCTAGTCATTGACTACTGATTACTATACAATTTCCTCCTTACCTTTTTTAGTTTCACAGAACTTTTTAATCGACACATTTTATGTAAGTATCTTAATTAATTAAATCACAGCACTTTAAATACACTACTACTATTTAACTGTTCAAGTAAGATAATATCACTAACTATCACATTAACTAGATCTCTGAATTAAATAAAGTAACTAATTTAAATTAGATTTTTTAAAGTAACAGTTGAGTTTGGAGATGAAAACTTCTAGAAACCAGAATAAAATGGACAAGAATAATCCAAAGTTGTGGGACGTTGTTAACTGTCCTCTATTTTAGGGTTCTTTTATAACAGCCTTGATGTTGGGACACTTAAGACACTCTTTAATAAAATGTTTAAATAGTAGAAGTGAAGGTTACATCAATGTGTCTTTAACAAAACTTCATATCTGGAGAAGGGAGCTGGACTGAGAGCATGGACGCATAACCAGTAGTATAGGTCGGTCGAGCACTAGGTCATTCTGAGAGCTCAGTCGCAGCTAACTAAAACTCTTGTAAAACTCTAAGTTGCTAAAAGCAGCACACATATTTATATGCACTGGTCTAAATCTTGTGATGGACCAGTGTTATTACATTAGTGGCTAGTTACGGTTAGTTAGAGGTAGTTGGGGCAAGTTGCGGTTAACTCTGGTAAGAAGTGGTAAGATCCGGTAAGATCCGGTAAGTTAAAGGGCAGGTTAAGACTATCCCCCTTAAAGCTTTTAGAATTAGCTGCTCACTGCTATTGTTTCTGATCATGTGGTGCAATGTGTTATGATATTGTGTTAGCCCATATCAAGTTCTAGATTATTCTATAGAAGGTTTCAGAGTTTCAGGGTAATCTATTGATTAAAAGGCCAAAGCTAGCAACCCAACAACGTGGGTTTAGACTTAAGTGCTACCAGATGAGGGTGTTTTCAGAATTAGTAACTGACTCAATGTGTAGACCCACATGGTTGACGGTATTAATCTTTACAGTGTGTTTTTATTTCCGTTCTATTTAAATTAATTACAACAGTACAAATCTATTAGATTTGTTGACGAGGAGTATAGTAGTAAATGTATATAGTTGAAAGAGCTTAATATTATTAATTAATTAATATTAATCTTCTCCCAACAGTGGACTCTTGCAAAACATAACAGTAGATTAAATAGTGCAAAATAAATAAAATAGTGTATTAGTTGTTTAAGTAGTGCATAATATTATAATAGTAGATTAAATAAGGATACATTATTATAACGAACTTGACAATCACGGTACACACTGTTGTGTACCAATAATACATTACAATAATGTTACACACACGAATAGAATCTACAAAAGGTTAATAACACAGCACCAAATATATAATATAATATATTATATTATAATAATATACATAATATACATAATATTAATAATAACTTAATAATAATATTCATAATATTATATAGCGGTAGATTAGACACAGCATAATAGTAACCGGGGTCTAATAAAACTGTCAGTTACACATGATTATACTGTGGTTAAGATGCTGGTATAGGGAGGCAGTCACGTGATAATTATTCATCTTTTGATTGGTCAGTGCTGGACGCTGATTGGTTAATCAATGTCACGTGTCGGACTCCCACTTGGAATATCCAGACCAATGGACGATGTTTAATAAAACCGAATATAATATTCTGCTGTCGTTAATAACTCAGTAGACACACTCAGTAGACACACTCAGTAGACACACTCAGTAGACACACTCAGTAGACACACTCAGTAGACACACTCAGTAGACACACTCAGTAGACACACTCAGTAGACACACTCAGTAGACACACTCAGTAGACACACTCAGTAGACACACTCAGTAGACACACTCAGTAGACACACTCAGTAGACACACTCAGTAGACACACTCAGTAGACACACTCAGTAGACACACTCAGTAGTCACACTCAGTAGACACACTCAGTAGACACACTCAGTAGACACACTCAGTAGACACACTCAGTAGACACACTCAGTAGACACACTCAGTAGACACACTCAGTAGACACACTCAGTAGACACACTCAGTAGACACACTCAGTAGACACACTCAGTAGACACACTCAGTAGACACACTCAGTAGACACACTCAGTAGACACACTCAGTAGACACACTCAGTAGACACACTCAGTAGACACACTCAGTAGACACACTCAGTAGACACACTCAGTAGACACACTCAGTAGACACACTCAGTAGACACACTCAGTAGACACACTCAGTAGACACACTCAGTAGACACACTCAGTAGACACACTCAGTAGACACACTCAGTAGACACACTCAGTAGACACACTCAGTAGACACACTCAGTAGACACACTCAGTAGACACACTCAGTAGACACACTCAGTAGACACACTCAGTAGACACACTCAGTAGACACACTCAGTAGACACACTCAGTAGACACACTCAGTAGACACACTCAGTAGACACACTCAGTAGACACACTCAGTAGACACACTCAGTAGACACACTCAGTAGACACACTCAGTAGACACACTCAGTAGACACACTCAGTAGACACACTCAGTAGACACACTCAGTAGACACACTCAGTAGACACACTCAGTAGACACACTCAGTAGACACACTCAGTAGACACACTCAGTAGACACACTCAGTAGACACACTCAGTAGACACACTCAGTAGACACACTCAGTAGACACACTCAGTAGACACACTCAGTAGACACACTCAGTAGACACACTCAGTAGACACACTCAGTAGACACACTCAGTAGACACACTCAGTAGACACACTCAGTAGTCACACTCAGTAGACACACTCAGTAGACACACTCAGTAGACACACTCAGTAGACACACTCAGTAGACACACTCAGTAGACACACTCAGTAGACACACTCAGTAGACACACTCAGTAGTCACACTCAGTAGACACACTCAGTAGACACACTCAGTAGACACACTCAGTAGTCACACTCAGTAGACACACTCAGTAGACACACTCAGTAGACACACTCAGTAGACACACTCAGTAGACACACTCAGTAGACACACTCAGTAGACACACTCAGTAGACACACTCAGTAGACACACTCAGTAGACACACTCAGTAGACACACTCAGTAGACACACTCAGTAGACACACTCAGTAGACACACTCAGTAGACACACTCAGTAGACACACTCAGTAGACACACTCAGTAGACACACTCAGTAGACACACTCAGTAGACACACTCAGTAGACACTCAGTAGACACACTCAGTAGACACACTCAGTAGACACACTCAGTAGACACACTCAGTAGACGCACTCAGTAGACACACTCAGTAGACGCACTCAGTAGACGCACTCAGTAGACGCACTCAGTAGACACACTCAGTAGACACACTCAGCAGACACACTCAGTAGTCACACTCAGTAGACACACTCAGTAGACACACTCAGTAGACACACTCAGTAGACACACTCAGTAGTCACACTCAGTAGACACACTCAGTAGACACACTCAGTAGACACACTCAGTAGACACACTCAGTAGACACACTCAGTAGACACACTCAGTAGACACACTCAGTAGACACACTCAGTAGACACACTCAGTAGACACACTCAGTAGACACACTCAGTAGACACACTCAGTAGACACACTCAGTAGACACACTCAGTAGACACACTCAGTAGACACACTCAGTAGACACACTCAGTAGACACACTCAGTAGACACACTCAGTAGACACACTCAGTAGACACACTCAGTAGACACACTCAGTAGACACACTCAGTAGACACACTCAGTAGACACACTCAGTAGACACACTCAGTAGACACACTCAGTAGACACACTCAGTAGACACACTCAGTAGACACACTCAGTAGACACACTCAGTAGACACACTCAGTAGACACACTCAGTAGTCACACTCAGTAGACACACTCAGTAGACACACTCAGTAGACACACTCAGTAGACACACTCAGTAGACACACTCAGTAGACACACTCAGTAGACACACTCAGTAGACACACTCAGTAGACACACTCAGTAGACACACTCAGTAGACACACTCAGTAGACACACTCAGTAGACACACTCAGTAGACACACTCAGTAGACACACTCAGCAGACACACTCAGCAGACACACTCAGCAGACACACTCAGTAGACACACTCAGTAGACACACTCAGTAGACACACTCAGTAGACACACTCAGTAGACACACTCAGTAGACACACTCAGTAGACACACTCAGTAGACACACTCAGTAGACACACTCAGTAGACACACTCAGTAGACACACTCAGTAGACACACTCAGTATACACACTCAGTAGACACACTCAGTAGACACACTCAGTAGACACACTCAGTAGACACACTCAGTAGACACACTCAGTAGTCACACTCAGTAGACACACTCAGTAGACACACTCAGTAGACACACTCAGTAGACACACTCAGTAGACACACTCAGTAGACACACTCAGTAGACACACTCAGTAGACACACTCAGTAGACACACTCAGTAGACACACTCAGTAGACACACTCAGTAGACACACTCAGTAGACACACTCAGTAGACACACTCAGTAGACACACTCAGTAGACACACTCAGTAGACACACTCAGTAGACACACTCAGTAGACACACTCAGTAGACACACTCAGTAGACACACTCAGTAGACACACTCAGTAGACACACTCAGTAGACACACTCAGTAGACACACTCAGTAGACACACTCAGTAGACACACTCAGTAGACACACTCAGTAGACACGCTCAGTAGACACGCTCAGTGGACACACTCAGTAGACACACTCAGTAGACACACTCAGTAGACACACTCAGTAGTCACACTATTCTGTGTATCACCTACATATGTGACATATGTTGAGTTTCGTAAAAATTTGACGGGGCCATCACATCTTCTGACCACCCCATAGCGAAGTAAAGTCTCGCTCGTTGCGCCAGCACAGCAGAGAGTTCTTATTTGGAGGAGTATATCCCCTTGATCGGCGGCTTATCATGGAGAAAAAACATGAACTTTGTGAGCTTATCTTTGAAGTGCTCCAGATCTTTAATTTGATTACCATTACCATTCAGATGGTAGGGGATTGTATTCCACAATTTAGGTCCCTGAACTGCAAATGAGTTGTCAAACAAGGTGAGGTTTGCTGTTGAACTGGTTCTACGTTTTGATGGAATTACTGCAAGGTTTCCAAGCCTTGGGCGTGAAACAAATAGAACGTTCAGATCATTGTTGGTCTTTCCGTGGAGGATTTTCCACTTATGGAGAATGATGAATCGCTCCCGCCTTCGTTGAAGAGACATCAGAGATAGATTGACCAGGCGATCCCAGTAGTAGAGATTGCGCATTCCTGATATTCTGGCGGTGAATGCTTTCTGTACACTCTCCAGTTCTTGGATATCGCTGATTTTTGAGGGATGCCATAATGGACATCAATATTCAATCAGACTTCGAACCATTGATTTGTATAGCGTCAGCATGATGGAGTGAGATCGTGTGTGAAATACACTGAGAACCCATGATGCTTTTTGGCGAGCTTTATCTGCATTGGCTCGTATGTGAGGGGACCAAGAGAGATCACTTGACACTATGACGCCTAAATCCCTGAGCTGATGTATTGGCTCAAGTGTAGTGTCTTTGGAAACTGAGTATTGATAATGTTCAACCACAAATGGAATATATTGGTGGTTGAATTTGTGACACATGTACTCAAATTTGTATTTGTGAAGGGCCATATTATTTCTTTCAGACCAATCAATGACATTTTGCAGATATTTTTGGAGGAGCTTGACGTCATGCTCTGATTTGATAGCAATGGATATGCGAGTGTCATCAACAAAACATCGAATTATAGAGTGCATGATACAATGTTCGATATCATTGATGAAAATCAAGAAAAGGATCAGCCCCAAAACCGTACCTTGTGGAACTCCGCTGATTATCAGTGCAAGGATGGACAGATGACCGTCAACCACAACTGCTTGTTATACTTCTAACTGCTTTTGATACTTCTAACTCCAGTCGACCAGTCTTGTCAAGGTGGTATTTCTTCTTTCTACTGTGCGGTGAAACTGTATTTATTGGTCCAGTACTGAAACTTTAGATTTCAGCTTTATGTAGCAGTAAGTAACAAAAATGCAGTGTTTCTAGAATACCTTGAGTATTACAACAATGTGTTTATTTACTGTGTAGAATTCAACTTTTGTTAAAACTATGCAAATTATGCAAAATATGCAAATACTTGCAAAATATGCTATGGTTGGTAACCTTACGCTATACTATAATAAGTGTTCAGTTCGCTACGTCAAGAATATTTCCCATATCATTTATAATTGGGATAATTACATAACAATCGGTATAATTACACCCCACACACCCATTGACCCACATATCCCAGTTATAATGACCTTTAATTACTTCGTTATACTCCACGTAATATCAGTAATTACCTAATTACATCTAATGTAATTAGGTAATTACTTAACTAATCATTCACATTCCGTGTAATTGACCCCTTATTGACCCCTAACACTCCAGGTATGATATCATGGTTGGAGAACCCGACCGAGGATGTTAAAGAGGCAGAAACAAAGGAGGAGACTACTTGGGCTGAGGAGGATGAGAGCCCTGTGGCTCATCTTACTACGGACACTTTTAAACCTTTCATAGCTGAACATAAAAGTGTTTTGGTAAGTGATCTGCTTTTCATAGCTGAACAGAACTGTTATGGAAAATTAGAGGACAGAAAGAAAACAGTTAGATATTTACAATCAGTTAGAAGAAGTTAGCAGAAGTGTTTAAATGTGGCTACATCTAGACACACGATACAAGAGTGGAGGTGTATGTTTTATACAAGAGTGGAGGTGTCTGTTTTATACAAGAGTGGAGGTGTATGTTTTATACAAGAGTACAAGAGTGGAGGTGTATGTTTTATACAAGAGTACAAGAGTGGAGGTGTATGTTTTATACAAGAGTACAAGAGTGGAGGTGTCTGTTTTATACAAGAGTACAAGAGTGGAGGTGTATGTTTTATACAAGAGTACAAGAGTGGAGGTGTCTGTTTTATACAAGAGTACAAGAGTGGAGGTGTCTGTTTTATACAAGAGTACAAGAGTGGAGGTGTATGTTTTATACAAGAGTACAAGAGTGGAGGTGTATGTTTTATACAAGAGTACAAGAGTGGAGGTGTATGTTTTATACAAGAGTACAAGAGTGGAGGTGTATGTTTTATACAAGAGTGGAGGTGTATGTTTTATACAAGAGTGGAGGTGTATGTTTTATACAAGAGTGGAGGTGTATGTTTTATACAAGAGTGGAGGTGTATGTTTTATACAAGAGTACAAGAGTGGATGTGTATGTTTTATACAAGAGTGGAGGTGTATGTTTTATACAAGAGTGGAGGTGTATGTTTTATACAAGAGTGGAGGTGTATGTTTTCATTTCCACAACTAGACCTGCTGCACCGAACAATTCTATAACAACCGTTTTAGAAATCCAGTATGAAGGGGGCATACACTAAAACTGCCATCCCAAATGATACGATAATGACATTTTACACGAATGTAGAACAGTTCTGGGACACATTTTGTGAACAAATTTAGCTCGATATCACTAGAAATGATTGACTTATAGCCTCTCAACGAAACAAATTGTGCTTTTGCGAAAAATGCTAAAATGCACTTTGACCAGGAAATGCTCGATTACAAAAATGGGAATCCTCAAACAAAATTTTTGTGATATGGAAAGGGTGCGCAAGATGGTTCCTGAACTTCCTATGAGGTCATTTGGGTTGGCAGTTTTGGTGTATGACCCCTTAAACTATCGGAACAACTATACAACAGTTCAGAAATGATTAAAGTTTAATTAAGTTATCCCGTCTAACTAATCTATGATCAATTAACTAATTGATGATCCCCTCCTAGGTGATGTTTTACGCGCCATGGTGCGGGCACTGTAAATCCATGAAACCAGAATACAGTAAATCAGCAATAAGAATGGATGAGGAGGGTGTTGAAGGGAAGTTGGCAGCTGTTGATGTGACGACCAACAGGCCACTGGGAGAAGAGTTTGGGGTTAAGGTACATCAGGATCTTAATTGGGGCCTTTTTGGGGTTTCGGAATAGTATGCGGATATGTCTAGTTTCTAAACAGTAGATATTGAATCCAGATAATAATACAGCTTCTGTAATCTAGACTCTTACAAGAATCACTATATTTTAAAAGCTCTGAATTAATTTGAATCTGTCCGTACTATGCTCTCTGTATTAACTGCAAGATATTGTTCAGAGTTTCCCGACAGTTGTGTACTTCAAGAACGGAAACAAAACATTCGAACATCCTGGATTGAGAAAAGAACCGGATATCATGAAGTTTATGAAGGATCCTAAGGAACCGCCTCCGCCCTCACCCGAGGAGGCCTCTTGGAGTGAACAGGTTTCTAATGTTTTGTGGATTGTGTGGCTTGATTATATTTATGGTGTTTAATTTTATCGTTAATACATGGTTAACACTCGATTCATGTCCCGTTAATAGTGGCATTAAAATATACGCATATCATCATCATCATGGGATTTTCTTTGATTCAACTGCTACTGAATACTTCAAAATATTTTTAAAATAACTCGATTTTGAAGTTTGCTAGTCTGTGGCACAAATACGTGGACATTCAGTCACCATCAGAAACATTAGTAATTGGAACGCGCGATAACAAAAAAACAATAAAGTATGCGCGCCACGTACGTTTCATCTGTTAGATTTCTGGAAATTGAAAATCGACGTGACATAGCCTCATGCGGCGCGAACCCTGGATTCCTACGTGTCAATTGATTAACAACATGCCGTTAACATGGTAATTAATGTCGAGCATGTAACACTGCTACCATAATGTTGTAGGTTGAAACTGACAGATCATTGAAAATGACATCCCTCCCCGTTTTAAGGTGTGTCTTAATTCATTATCCTGTTATCCTTCTCCATCCCATTTCCGGAGCCAACAAAAATGAACACTAGCTATATCACCATAAATTCTATCATCTGAAATAAAAATTGGCTTTTGAGAATTCCCGGGGATCACGGCAAATGACTCATCTCGTGGACAACACAAAAGTTGGGAACACTTGGAACAAATTCTCATTTCAGGAGAGTTCAGTGGAACATTTCACTACCACTGATTTCGAGAAAGCAGTAAAAAGGAAGAAACACAGTCTGATCATGTTCTACGCTCCATGGTGTGGGCATTGTAAGACAGCTAAACCCGAGTTTACAGGAGCAGCTGAACAGCTCGCTGACAATAATAAGGTTGGTTATTTTACGGTACATTTATTATCCCAAAAACCGCGTTGCAAAGGGTTATAATTTGTACAATTCGAAATGTTTTATTTTAATTTTATAATGGTTTTTACAATCAGATTTACTTAAAAAGCATTCGTTCCAATTCGCTCCACCCCTCCCCGTTCCTCGCTGAATTCTCACCCAAAGCTTTTTAAAACAAGACGATATAATTAACGAGATTCTTTAAAATTAAAAGAAAAGACATTCTTCAAGAGAGGAACTTTGAAAAATCGCCATAACAGGTAACTTCCCGTTTTACGATAAAGAATTCATTGACCTTCTTGAACCTGTAATCCAAAAACGTCCAGGTAATGCTGGGAGCAGTTGACTGCACCGCCGCCCCCAACAAGGAAGTCTGTGCCAAGTATGGTGTGAAAGGTTTCCCAACTTTAGTGTACCTCAGTTACGGTGCTATGCCGCACAAGTACTCTGGGGGCCGGGACCAGGCTGCTTTTGTCAAGGTGAGGGGTTTGTGAGGGGTTTTTTGAGGGGTTTGTGAGGGGTTTGTGAGGGGTTTTTCTTATATCAGGGTATAGAAACGTTTTCAAATTGTTATTGGTGTAAGATCTAATGTTTTTTATTGATGATGTACTATGATATTACCATTAGTATGAGTACCAAACAATAACCCCTGATGATTAAAAACCTGCTGAAAATATTCGTCACATAGTGAATTTTGGGAAAGTGAAACTCCAGTTAAAGATGGACGTGCTAAGGACCCCTCCAAATCAAAATTATTCATATCTTCTGTTACATCCTTTAAAAAAACATATTTTCAGTCGATGTCGAGCGATGATCCCAGTGCGGGTATGACACCCTTAGAGGCACCAAGTGGTGACAAGGGTAAGGTGGTGTGGGGAGGTGAAGATGTGACCCATGTAGCTACTGCTGACCATGATACTTTTATAGCTGGGGGTAGCCCTGCTTTCATGCTTTATTACAAGTTAGTTTGTAGAGGTGTTAGTTAATAGTTTTACTTTATACTGATTAGACTGAGGTCATTTGACTTATTTTTGGTTACCAAATTATAACTTACTTGTATATAACTTACTGACATAATGTAAAATATAAAGTTTAACGATGAAACTCTAACATATCAGTAATTCTAGCAAACATACTGTTTAAATGTAAAACTAAACCGATTCACCTCCCCAGAAAGGGATGTAGCACGTGCAAATCGGTACAGGACGCCTTCTCAGCGGCCAGCAAGCTCCTTAAATACCATTCCATCACATTCTCCGCGTTCCAGTGTCCACCACGATCTCATAATCCGCATTGTTCTGGCAATGAGCCACGAATTGTGGTTTATTACAGTGCAAGTAGGCACGTTGTGTACAAGCATTCTACTGTTAGTTCCAGGGACATGGTTAATTTCATCAATGCGGCTAAAGATGAATTGTAGTTTGAGATTTGCAGCTTTGCATTCTTTCAGTTTATTTTCGGGTTTTTTCCTATTTTTAATTTTTCAAGTCCAGCTAGTTCCCAAACTAAACATGATTAGCTTTAAAGTTTTCTATTTCTAGAGATATAACTTTATGACTTTGTAGACCGTTAAAGATAGTTTTTATTATCAGATCTTTATGTTAAGAGTCCTATTATTACGATTATTATTTTGTATCGTTACATATTGTAGTGTATAACGTACATTTTAGTCATTTGCATGTCCATAGAATGATGTTTTTTTTCTTCGTATTTTACGCAACTTCTCCGGAATAGTAAGCATTATATTTGTTGGGTAACGAAATTAAATGAGTTTGAAGCAGTTAATACATCAGACAGTACAGACCTGGTCGCCGAAGTAGTTTATTATGATGAAAATATTTAAAAATAAAACGTGCTAGAGGGGTTACCTTGGTTACCGGAATGAGACAAAGTCAAAATGTAGTTCGTTTTTATATTCTACAAACGAAAACGAATTAGCCGTTAGCTTTATAATCAGAAAATTAGTCCCGTTTTTACATTTCGATACGAATTAAACGGATTTAACAGCTGTTACTTGAACAAGTATTAAATTTAAGTTAACTGCAACTGAATTCCCCAGTGTATCTATCATAAATTAATCATCAAATCGAAGTTTAAGCATTTTGGTTAGAAAATCTCTTAATAATTTCTTATTTCATTCTAAAAGTAATTAAATGTCACTGTCATTTAAAAAAAATGTTTTGATCGGAGAAAATCTCTCGAATATTATTAAAGTTGATGCCGTGTTGAAATTAATTAATTAAATAGAAATTAAATCAAATTAGATTATACTATCCAGAAAGAGCTGTCAGACTTATATTACGTAAGGGGTCGTTCACATATAACGTAATCAGCTGACTAGGGGGCCGGGGGGGGGGGGGGGTTCCGAATGATTACACTAGTGTAATTTTGACACAATAGCTATGTGTAAAACATATTACAGAGGGGGGGGGGGGAATGTTCCAAAAAATGATTACGTAATACATGTGCACGACCCCTAAACTGAAACAGATTTATATTATGTAAACACGTGATAATACTATTTCTGTCCCTATTTCTGAACTCATCCGTATTCTTAATACAGTGCTAACTGCTAGTGACGTGTGCTTCACAAACACAGTGCCCTAAGTCTAACAGCTTTCAACGGACAAACTTACGTTAATACGTGATCATATCCCAGTATCGCTGCCGCTACTTTGGGAGCCAGATGACGTCTCGAAGTTGCTATGACGTAATTAGGTCGCTTATACTTTGGGAGCCAGATGACGTCACGAAGTTGCTATGACGTCACTAGGTCGTAATACTCTGGGAGCCAGATCTCGGGCCGGATTGGGGGTATCCCAGTATTGATCCCGAAAAAGAGCACACATCCCACTAAAATAGGAGTAACACCTAGCTGAATATGGCTTGTGTTATTTATTGTGTTATTAATTGATCAGTGTTCAAAAGAGTTGTAACTTGTATTGGTACTAAGGGATCGTTCACACTTCACATATCATTATTACGTAATCACTGAGGGGGGGGGGGGTTCTAAATGTGTAAAACTGATGATTCTGCGAGTAAACACTCTTCACTCAAGATTTACTGCACTGCGGGTAAACACTCATCACTCAAGATTTACTGCACTGCGAGTAAACACTCATCACTCAAGATTTACTGCACTGCGAGTAAACAATAAACATTCACCATCAAGATACTTCACAGAACTTATTGTAAAATAAATTGAATACAGCATTGCCACGTGAGTACTAGTAGTAACCCTGAAATAATATATACCGAGATATATAGTATATACGAGATTGCCACGCTAGTAGTAACCCTGAAATAATATATACCGAGATATATAGTATTTACGAGATTGCCACGCTAGTAGTAACCCTGAAATAATATATACCGAGATATATAGTATAAACGATCAGATTGCCACGCTAGTAGTAACCCTGAAATAATATATACCGAGATATATAGTATTTACGAGATTGCCACGCTAGTAGTAACCCTGAAATAATATATACCGAGATATATAGTATATACGAGATTGCCACGCTAGTAGTAACCCTGAAATAATATATACCGAGATATATAGTATATACGAGATTATCTCAGAAAGCTTATCTGGTAAATGTTATTGTAAACAACTGACACAAAACACCCGGACAGACAGTTTTCATTGCAGATGAAATGAAGATTTCACGCCATTGTTGGTCACGTGACTGCTATTAACTCCAGATGAAATGAAGATTTCCCGCCATTGTCAATCACGTGACTGCTATTGTCAGGTGCTTTGATGCATGATTAATCAGAACAGTATTCTGCACGTGTAGTGATGATATCCTTGATTCACATGCTTAGTGATGCAGCTACTGATGTGATATGACAGGTGTCAGACTTTAATCCCGGTCGGTTGGCTCGTGTTTGGCAGCTCATGGTGATATCTTTTAACATTTCTAGTTTAAATTGAAAGTTGTAGATGAAAAAGGTTCACCTTAGATCAGTTACAATCGTGGACTCAGTTCGTGGACTCAGCAATTTTTGTTACCTTATTAGTGGCTAAATAGTGGGATAGTAATAAGTAAACCACTCGACACTAGATATTAGCCAATCAAAGCCCAGATCAGAATCATTTTCCTTGTGTATTTAAATTTAGTCTGATATATTTCACCCCAAAATCCCCTAGCTTCCCCACTAATGCCCAAATCTGTAACCCGCCTTTCCCTGAGACCACCTCGTGCACGTAAGCTGCCTACCTGGTTAAATAACCGCGGTATTGATCATAAAAACAGCCAATTTAACATTTACCATGTTTTGAGAATTACACGGCCTGTTTACAAATCAACACCACTTTGTAAATAAGTAAATATAGACTCTCGTCATATATATATGATATATATATATATGTATATAAAAATAAGATACTAGGTATTAACACCAGTCAGACTAGTAAAGACAGACATGGTTCCCATAAAGATATAAAGCTGATTGTACACTGGTAACTGTGTGGTACATTGGTAACTGTGTGCCGTGTGGTACCCTGGTAACTGTGTGGTACCCTGGTATTTAGGTAACTATGGCACATCGGTAACTGTGTGGTACCCTGGTAACTATGGTACCATGGTAACTATGGTACCCTGGTAACCAGTAACTGTGTACCCTGGTAACAAAGGACCACAAAGGATCAGATTGAAGTAGCCAGTTTACTACTTGAATTGTACAAAATATAACATACCATTTCATCACTCAACGGATTATCATAATTATAGTACAGTGGCACTTTGTATTGGTTTTGTACAGATTGGGCTATGAATACGAGTAAATGTTATTATATAGTTATACTATGTCAAGGAGTAAATGTTGGTCATTTTTGGGATATATATACATACATTGTCATGAGCTTTTAGCGCTGTCTGTTCAAACTATGTGGTAGAGATTATATCTCGTGATTTTAAATAATTTTGAAAAATATACAGCAAAATATTACACCTGAAGTGTTTATTGTTTGTTACTATTTTGAGGTTTATTATTAAGTTTATAAAGACGCACTGGCGTATACGGGAGGTTGATCGTATGTAGTAGTTAATATTTGGTTTGTAGTTAATCCTTGATTGTGATAGTTTGAGGAGTCCTAACCCTCTTTGTGTCCCGGGGTGGCATATCTCCTGTCTTTATTTTAATTTAAAACACAATGTTCCTATAGATTGAGCCTCCGAAGAAAGAATAGACCGAATACGTGCCCTGAGTACCCTACTCCTAGATCAGAAACAAGAGACCAAATATATTAGTGCCTCTTATTAGTGCCTCTCATTTACTACCTCTCATTTAGAGTATTTATTGCATTACAAAGAGTATGTATACTCTTTGTATATAATATATATATAATAAATAAAGTAACCATGTAAAAACCGCAGAAAGATAAGCTATAATCACTGATAGACATCGCTAGTCTTATTATAGGGATCGTTCAAATGTCACATAACCCAAATGTCGGCCATTTCAGACCCATCCATTTCCGTGAGCTACTATATTGTGTACAAATTACAAATTACAAATTACATTTGCGTACGCTTTTCCGAAACCCCTAGGTTAACTTAATACTTGTTATAACTATATCTCACCACTGGTCAGCTGGTAAGTAAGTGCATTATAAGTTGTTTGTTCATTAGTTGAACTGACAGCGCGCCAGCCTCTCTCTTCTCCGAATCTTTGAACGGTTAACAGATTATTAATAATTAAGAACAACAAAGCCGCTGAGGTCCTCAAGTAAAGAAGTAATTGCCAAACCACAGGCCATTATAGGGCCTTTACAAGCATAATCATTATAATTCAGACAACTCCCACTTCCTTTTGATAATACCATTGAATAACAATTAGTACAATATTGACATAATATTCAGTATTATAGGCCTATTAACTTATTAAGGACGACCAAAACAAGGTATAATAATCAAATTCAGATTTCCGAGTTGTCAGCGGAAATTTGGAAAATGAATCGGCCCTTTCAGTTTTGTAAAAATGCTACAGTGTTTCGCTGATAACGCATGGTAACTAAGAATTTTAGGGTTTGTGCTGCTGAAGTTATGACTAACAATTGATCGATACATAGTGTACTCAGTGTTGGGACGACATTTTTATTGATAAACTTATGATATCCGAAGAAAAATCATTTAAAAACTTTTTCTAGCTCCAACACAAAAATCCTCCATGTTAAAATTGTGCACAAATGTCCCTTGAAACAAAAATGTCCCTTAATTAAATATCATAAATTACAACACAGACGAAGTGTTGTACAGTATACACAGTGTAGGCCTATTTAGCAGCTGCAGTGTAGGCCTATTAAACCGATTAAACATGTAAACCAATACCAACAACTCATTGGTATATCTTGTTTATCATTATCTGACTTCTGATGAGATCAATCGTTTAGATCGTATCAATGTTAACATATTTGTACAGGAGATCAAGTTAGGAGCAATTCGGCGGTCTTTAAGTGATAGTGTATTCTTGTTTTATCTTTGTTTAAATTTGTTTTATCGTGTCTCATATTTGTAATTTGTTTCATTTCGTATTTGCTTATTTGCTTATGCTGTTTGATCGGTTTAGTGATAAGGTAGACGTAGAGCTGTTGTTCAGAGCTCCACCACCTTAGTGTCCTCCGCCGTAGCGTCCTCCACCTTAGCGTCCTCCACCTTTATAGCGTCCTCCACCGTAGCGTCCTCCACCTTAGCGTCCTCCACCTTAGCGTCCTCCACCTTAGTGTCCTCCACCTTAGCGTCCTCCACCTTAGCGTCCTCCACCTTAGCGTCCTTCACCTTAGTGTCCTCCACCTTAGTGTCCTCCACCATAGCGTCCTCCACCGTAGCGTCCTCAGCTGTAGCGACCTCCACCGTAGCGTCCTCCACCTTAGTGTCCTCCACCTTAGTGTCCACCACCTTAGTGTCCTCAGCCATAGCGTCCTCCACCTTAGTGTCCTCCGCCGTAGCGTCCTCCACCTTAGCGTCCTCCACCTTTATAGCGTCCTCCACCTTAGTGTCCTCCACCTTAGCGTCCTCCACCTTAGCGTCCTCCACCTTAGCGTCCTCCACCTTAGCGTCCTCCACCTTAGCGTCCTCCACCTTTATAGCGTCCTCCACCTTAGTGTCCTCCACCTTAGTGTCCTCCACCTTAGTGTCCTCCACCTTAGTGTCCTCCACCGTAGCGTCCTCCACCTTAGTGTCCTCCACCTTAGTGTCCTCCACCTTAGTGTCCTCCACCTTAGTGTCCTTCACCTTAGTGTCCTCCACCTTAGCGTCCTCCACCTTAGTGTCCTTCACCTTAGTGTCCTCCACCTTAGCGTCCTCCACCTTAGTGTCCTCCACCTTAGCGTCCTCCACCTTTATAGCGTCCTCCACCTTAGTGTCCTCCACCTTAGTGTCCTCCACCTTAGCGTCCTCCACCTTAGCGTCCTCCACCTTAGCGTCCTCCACCTTAGCGTCCTCCACCTTAGCGTCCTCCACCTTAGCGTCCTCCACCTTTATAGCGTCCTCCACCTTAGTGTCCTCCACCTTAGTGTCCTCCACCTTAGTGTCCTCCACCTTAGTGTCCTCCACCGTAGCGTCCTCCACCTTAGTGTCCTCCACCTTAGTGTCCTCCACCTTAGTGTCCTCCACCTTAGTGTCCTCCACCTTAGTGTCCTCCACCTTAGTGTCCTCCACCTTAGTGTCCTCCACCTTAGTGTCCTCCACCGTAGCGTCCTCCACCTTAGTGTCCTCCACCTTAGTGTCCTCCACCTTAGTGTCCTCCACCTTAGTGTCCTTCACCTTAGTGTCCTCCACCTTAGCGTCCTCCACCTTAGTGTCCTCCACCTTAGTGTCCTCCACCTTAGTGTCCTCCACCTTAGTGTCCTCCACCGTAGCGTCCTCCACCTTAGTGTCCTCCACCTTAGTGTCCTTCACCTTAGTGTCCTCCACCTTAGTGTCCTCCACCGTAGCGTCCTCCACCTTAGTGTCCTCCACCTTAGTGTCCTCCACCTTAGTGTCCTTCACCGTAGCGTCCTCCACCGTAGCGTCCTCAGCTGTAGCGACCTCCACCGTAGCGTCCTCCACCTTAGTGTCCTCCACCTTAGTGTCCACCACCTTAGTGTCCTCAGCCATAGCGTCCTCCACCTTAGTGTCCTCCACCTTAGTGTCCTTCACCTTAGTGTCCACCACCTTAGTGTCCTCCACCGTAGCGTCCTCCACCTTAGCGTCCTTCACCTTAGTGTCCTCCACCTTAGCGTCCTCCACCTTAGCGTCCTCAGCCATAGCGTCCTCCACCTTAGTGTCCTTCACCTTAGCGTCCTCCACCATAGCGTCCTCCACCTTAGTGTCCTCCACCTTAGCGTCCTTCACCTTAGTGTCCTCCACCTTAGCGTCCTCCACCTTAGCGTCCTCAGCCATAGCGTCCTCCACCTTAGTGTCCTCCACCTTAGCGTCCTCAGCCATAGCGTCCTCCACCTTAGTGTCCTCCACCTTAGTGTCCTCCACCTTAGTGTCCTCCACCTTAGTGTCCTCCACCTTAGTGTCCTCCACCTTAGTGTCCTCCACCTTAGTGTCCTTCACCTTAGTGTCCTCCACCTTAGCGTCCTCCACCTTAGTGTCCTCCACCTTAGCGTCCTCCACCTTAGCGTCCTCCACCTTAGTGTCCTTCACCGTAGCGTCCTCCACCGTAGCGTCCTCAGCTGTAGCGACCTCCACCGTAGCGTCCTCCACCTTAGTGTCCTCCACCTTAGTGTCCACCACCTTAGTGTCCTCAGCCATAGCGTCCTCCACCTTAGTGTCCTCCACCTTAGTGTCCTTCACCTTAGTGTCCACCACCTTAGTGTCCTCCACCTTAGTGTCCTCCACCTTAGCGTCCTCCACCTTAGTGTCCTCAGCCATAGCGTCCTCCACCTTAGTGTCCTCCACCTTAGTGTCCTCCACCGTAGCGTCCTCCACCTTAGTGTCCTCCACCTTAGTGTCCTCCACCTTAGCGTCCTCCACCTTAGCGTCCTCAGCTGTAGCGACCTCCACCTTAGCGTCCTCCACCTTAGTGTCCTCAGCCATAGCGTCCTCCACCGTAGTGTCCTCCACCTTAGCGTCCTCCACCGTAGCGTCCTCAGCTGTAGCGACCTCCACCTTAGCGTCCTCCACCTTAGTGTCCTTAGCCATAGCGTCCTCCACCTTAGTGTCCTCCACCGTAGCGTCCTCCACCTAAGCGTCCTCCACCTTAGTGTCCTCCACCTTAGTGTCCTTCACCTTAGTGTCCACCACCTTAGTGTCCTCCACCGTAGCGTCCTCAGCCATAGCGTCCACCACCTTAGCGTCCTCCACCTTAGTGTCCTCCACCTTAGTGTCCTTCACCTTTATAGCGTCCTCCACCGTAGCGTCCTCCACCTTAGTGTCCTCCACCTTAGCGTCCTCCACCTTAGCGTCCTCCACCTTAGTGTCCTCCACCTTAGTGTCCTCCACCTTAGCGTCCTCAGCCATAGCGTCCTCCACCTTAGTGTCCTCCACCTTAGTGTCCTTCACCTTAGTGTCCACCACCTTAGTGTCCTCCACCGTAGCGTCCTCAGCCATAGCGTCCACCACCTTAGTGTCCTCCGCCGTAGCGTCCTCCACCTTAGCGTCCTCCACCTTAGTGTCCTCCACCTAAGTGCCCTCCACCGTAGCTTCCTCAGCCATAGCGTCCTCCACCTTAGCGTCCTCCACCTTAGTGTCCTCCACCTTAGCGTCCTCCACCTTAGTGTCCTCCACCTTAGTGTCCTCCACCTTAGCGTCCTCCACCTTAGTGTCCTCCACCTTAGTGTCCTCCACCTTAGTGTCCTCCACCTTAGCGTCCTCCACCTTTATAGCGTCCTCCACCTTAGTGTCCTCCACCTTAGTGTCCTCCACCGTAGCTTCCTCAGCCATAGCGTCCTCAGCCATAGCGTCCTCCACCTTAGCGTCCTCCACCTTAGTGTCCTCCACCTTAGCGTCCTCCACCTTAGTGTCCTCCACCTTAGTGTCCTCCACCTTAGCGTCCTCCACCTTAGCGTCCTCCACCTTAGTGTCCTCCACCTTAGCGTCCTCCACCTTAGTGTCCTCCACCTTAGCGTCCTCCACCTTAGTGTCCTCCACCTTAGTGTCCTCCACCTTAGCGTCCTCCACCTTAGCGTCCTCCACCTTAGCGTCCTCCACCTTAGTGTCCTCCACCTTAGTGTCCTCCACCTTAGCGTCCTCCACCTTAGTGTCCTCCACCTTAGTGTCCTCCACCTTAGTGTCCTCCACCTTAGCGTCCTCCACCTTTATAGCGTCCTCCACCTTAGTGTCCTCCACCTTAGTGTCCTCCACCGTAGCTTCCTCAGCCATAGCGTCCTCAGCCATAGCGTCCTCCACCTTAGCGTCCTCCACCTTAGTGTCCTCCACCTTAGTGTCCTCCACCTTAGCGTCCTCCACCTTAGCGTCCTCCACCTTAGTGTCCTCCACCTTAGTGTCCTTCACCATAGCGTCCTCCACCTTAGTGTCCTTCACCTTAGCGTCCTCAGCCATAGCGTCCGGTTCCCAGCTCAGAGGATGCCTGAATTAGAGAGTTTGTAATTCAAACTCACTGTCTACCAATCTCGAGATCTGTACTTTGTGTACCAATCTCGAGATCTCTTTAATTTGCCGGTATGAAACCAATATGTGTCCCGGGATTTAAAGGTTTAAAACTATATTTTTATCTTTAGTTATTCAAATTTACCTTTGCTAGTGAGTGTTAATTTCATGCATAAAAGGGTGCTTGTAGTTGTACACGACAAATTGCATGAGCTTGAAGAAAGTATAGAATAGGCACCACTATTTTGTATTAGACTTCAACCCACAATAATCCACGTGTGTAGACTTCAACCCGTTTGACAAATGCCGGTTTAAACTTTTAAAGATTAAAATAACTAATAAGTAATCTAGGGAAGACTCTGTTTGGTTTATGATATATATTGCTTGCGGAGTGAGGGTATATTGCTTGCGGAGTGAGGGTATATTTCTAGCGGAGTGTATTCACTACGTTCGTAAGACTGTACGAGATTTTCCTCAAAACTTGCATCAAAATAGACACTAATTTGTTGTGTGAAGTGAGAGTAGATTGCGTGACCATGGAAACAGTTTGCAGCAGTAGTAGTAGTGACCAATTTGAAGTGATAATTAACCCAGCTCGCACCTGCAACAGCAAGTACCATGCTGTTTTAACTTTATAGTTGTCTCACTCCGCAAGCATTAATACACCCTCACTCCGCCTACTTCACACATTTTAGGCTTTACCGCTTTTGGCAGTGTAAGTCAGTACTTGTTTAAGGTTTATTTACTACTTTATCAGTAAGAAAAGCCATGTTTACTTGACACGTCTGTGCGTTTGGAGCTGTCCATCAAAACATGTATATTGTATTGCTTTTAACACGTGACAGCGATTAGCCAATCAGCCTCCAGCACTGACTGGTACAGACTGTGAATCACTGACTGGTACTGGCAAAACAAACATGGTTTACTTGATTGTTCAGGTTTTGCTGTCCTTCAGAAAAATGTACTGTGTATTTCTTTTTGAATTGTATATAATTCTATTGTCTTTGCGCTCCGATTGACACGGCTTTAAAAACTTATGGATACGGTTAATGCATTATTTTTCATTTCAACATTCGAATGCGTTTTTTCGTCTAAAAATACAAAATACCTTATTATATTGAATCTCGCAGAATTTGATGGATTTTTTAGATCCAGATGATTTCATTTACTCTTCACTGAAAGCTAGATCCTCCCAAACCTCCACATCAGGAGTTTCATCCCTATCAGGTGAAATTTTGCTCTTTGGTTTTTAAATAATAACTAATTAACTATAATATCACTTAGCAGGCGATTCTTCTACTTTCAGATCGATAACTGTTCATCTAAAATTATATTGTAGTATCACATTTGAATATTTAAAAAATACCCGGTGCCGGGAAAATCATATTTTAAGACGAGGAACCTGTATCACGTTTTAATAATTGCAATCAACATAACAAAATTCATTGTAATCATTGTAATCATTGTAATCATTGTAATCATTGTAATTATTGTAATCATTGTAATCATTGTAATCATTGTAATCATTGTAATCATTGTAATCATTGTAATCATTGTAATCATTGTAATCATTGTAATCATTGTAATCATTGTAATCATTGTAATCATTGTAATCATTGTAATCATTGTAATCATTGTAATCATTGTAATAATGGTAATCATTGTAATCATTGTAATCATTGTAATCATTGTAATCATTGTAATCATTGTAATCATTGTAATCATTGTAATCATTGCAATCATTGTAATCATTGTAATCATTGTAATCATTGTAATCATTGTAATCATTGTAATCATTGTAATTATTGTAATCATGTTTCTGTTTCAGATTTGAGCCCCTTACTACAAGACTGCAAAAGAGACGGAGTGTTTGTAAAAGGGGATCTCAGTTTTACCTCTAGTTCTGGAGTTTCTCTCCGGTCCCGATCATTTCACTCACTGTCTGAGGAGATGAGGTACTTTTCGTGTATTTTGTAATATCTACAGATACGGGTCAGCCAAGAGGCCAGAGGGTAGACCTCATTCTGAGGAGTGACAGCGTTTCATTAATTTGCTTCTAGCATTGACCAATTAAAACCCAGAATTCATATCACTTGTCAAAACAATTATGGTTCAGCCGGTAACACGACTCCTGTCCGACAGCGACATCTGTCCGACAGCGACATCTGTCCGACTCAGGGTACCAGAAAAAACGACATCTGTCCGAAATTGTGATCTGATTTCAATACGACACATTTCCAATTAGAGACATGATCTGAACTGTTAATACTTGCTAATTTGTATACGTAACATTTCCAATTTGAGATATAATCTGAGCCATATTTTACTACCGACATCTGTCCGAAATCCCTAATTCGGCTGTCGGACGGCTGTAGGACTATTGAGCGGAGGACTGTTGAGCGTAGGACTGTAGGTCGGTGAAGGTAGGAAGTAGGACTGTAGAGCGGTGTCAAATCGCCAGGGTAAGACTCTAGAGCGGCCGCCCTTATAGATCTCACAGCATGAGGACGGTACGATCCTAAAATGAGGACTGTAGAGCGGTGGACTGTAGGCCGGTGAAGGTCGGAAGTAGGACTGTAGAGCGGCCCTCATCCCATAACATGAGGACTCTAGATCGGTACCCTCCCATAACATGAGGACTCTATAGCGGTTGAAAATTTGAAGATTGAACACTCAACGAAGCGGTACCCTCCTATAACATGAGGACTCTATAGCGGTTGAAAATTTGAAGATTGAACACTCAACGAAGCTAAGTTATACATTGTAACTCGTGATTGATTATGGTCATGAAATTCTAGGATGGTAACTTTATTAAAGAGTCATGGAGTTAATGAACATTTTCATTATAAATATTTCATTACTAATATTATAGTGTATCTTTATTTAGGATTATTGGTCGGTCTCAACGTCTTCCAAAAAATTTGAACATTGAATAAAATTATGTTTTTTTAACTCGTAATCAATAACACATGTGATATTAGGATGATAAAATCGATAAAACTTATTACAAACAATTACGAAAAATAAATACTATCAAAATAACATTTCACTCCTCAGCCATCACTTCGCAGCATGTCCAGGTGTGAGACGAGGTCCTGATCATCGTTTACTTCAGCTAGGTGGGCGGCTCGGCTAGTAGTACACGAGCATTGATTCTCCGTTGAGGGAGAATCGATGGCAGAGGGATCCAGTTGGAGGTCGGCCAAGGTTCCAGGAGCTGTAGGAGTGGGACTCTCAACCTTCTTCGCTTTGTTGAGTCTGCAGGATGAATGTGAGGTGTCACAGACGGAATCTCCAGTGGTGTAGAGGCGACCAGGACACTTGTATTTCCTCAGGACACATCGCCAAGCTTGACGGCCGTCTTGGATAGGTTTTCCATCCTTAATTCCGTAGCGAAATCCTTGCAGCTCAGGACAAGGTTGATGGTGCCGGCTGTTCGTCCCCGGATGAAGATGGGCTTCTCAGGAGGAGAAAGACTGTTAACACTCTGCATATTGTAGGTAGTTGTAGAAGAGGAGTAGGAATCGAATTTGATATACGAAAACTGGATACTCCGTGATATTTATACCATACCTTCGAAATCCTAACAAGATATCGCACTGCGATGGGATCTGATCTGAATCAGTCCCGTCACCAGATTGATGAACATGAGATATCCTTAGTAGGCGCTAAAGCGTCACGCGATGCGATCCTCATTCCTAAATGATCTGCACGAACTTGATCGGTACTCTGCTTAGCGAAATCACATTGATACGAACAGTTCACTAAAATAACAAAGACACGTTTTACATTTTTGAGTAGCAGGGGAATATTTCAATCATTTGGAAGACGTTGAGACCGACCAATAATCTTAAATTAAGTTACACTATAATATTAGTAATGAATATTTATAATAAGTAAATGAAAATGTTCATTAACTCCATGACTCTTTAATAAAGTTATCATCCTAGAATGTCATGACCATAATCAATCACGAGTTACAATGTATAACTTAGCTTCGTTGAGTGTTCAATCTTCAAATTTTTAACCGCTATAGAGTCCTCATGTTATAAGAGGGTACCGCTCTAGAGTCCTCATGTTATGGGATCTATAAGGGAGGGCCGCTCTACAGTCCTACTTCCGACCTTCACCGGCCTACAGTCCACCGCTCAACAGTCCACCGCTCTACAGTCCTCATTTTAGGATCGTACCGCTCTAAAGTCCTCATGTTGTGAGATTGTATAAGGGCGGCCGCTCTAGAGTCCTACCCTGGCGATTTGACACCGCTCTACAGTCCTACTTCCGACCTTCACCGACCTACAGTCCTACGCTCAACAGTCCACCGCTCAATAGTCCTGCTCCCTGTCGGACAGATGTCGCCCAATCGGTTCAGCCCTACCAGTATTATGTATGTAATGCAGCATTACTAATGCTATTTTATCAACTCATCCGGTCCTAGAGTTGTAATTCCATCTCCGGGAGCAATTGCTGTAGTCAGAAAACAAAAAATTAATATCAGCTGATAATCCCAATCATTAAAAAAACCCGATCATAAAAATATAACAACCAAACAAATGGTTGATTTTCATTTTGTTTCAGGTTGAAAAAACGAAAATGTGTTGGAGCAAATGACTCTAAAGATATCGACAACAACAGTCTCAACACTGTACGTGACATGATTTCTCTTTCTATCTCCTGTTTATCGTTAAATTGTATCCTACTAACTGAGCTGTCTCTTTTCTAATTCTATCTGTCTCTGCAGTTATTTCCAACAATTGCATTTTACCAGTCTTCGTTGAAGACTTGTCAGGTTTTTAGGATGTTTATTCTTAATTACTTCAGATTTGTGTAAAGCTTGATAATATTAATACAATTCGGACAGCATTGACTTGCAGGAACTCTGATTTGCATATATTCTAAATTTGCAGGTGAAAATAACATTCTCTGATTACGACTCTAACTCAGAAAAGTCATGGTCTTCCCAACGAGAAGAGATGGACTACTTTCCCGGTAACACAGTCAGTACTCTTCTTTTTTAATAATATTTTACTTTACTTTTTTAATTCAATTGTGTTATAGTGCCTCTCTAATACAGGATCAATGCACTGAGTTAATTCTGCAGCAACCGCACAGTAAGTCTCCATCTATCCCGGCCATTTCTTTGGGGCCATCATTCATAGAAAGATAGTAGTTAGGGCAAGAGTTGATTTTTCTGTGAACAAATTCGTAACAAAGGTTTGTCTACAGGAATGTGTTGTCCATAGTCCCAGGAACCACAAAAAAAACCGTCCAGCTGAAACTTTTGGGCAAACATTTTTTATAGAATGACAAATCAAAACTCCGATTTGCCAAGAACCTTGATTTTTAGTTTAGGTTTAAGTTTTAAATTATAGTTTGAAAGGTTAACCATGTTTCATGGCAGAGAGAGATATCATGTGTGAATTGCTGATTTAACGCGGCCGTCTTCGTTTCCCCGGTAAATCGGGGGTTCTGTGCTGTTTCCCCGGTAAATCGGGGGTTCTGTATTTAACTGTGTTTTGAAGTTGAGGGTTTTTGTTCGATAAAACAGCTGAAAAGAAGCTGGATACAGCTTCTTCTCGAGCGTTTCTTTAGATTTGTGAAACCAAAACTATTGGTTATTAAACTGACTTCATATAAAGTAAACGTGAGATATATAAATGACTTTCTAAGTGATCTCCGTACGTTCAAATCAGAGTTGTTTTTGCAGAATGAAGAGCCACATTTCTTGGATCAAACTATATATAACATATTTTCTTCATACATGCCACTAGTCACCCGTAAGTGTAACTGATAATTCCTTGAGTTACTAAGGATTTGCGATTGTGACGGTATAAGTATAACCGGTAAAATATAACCGGTAAAATATAACCGGTAAAATTTCCTCCAGAGTAAACTGATCATCGGTGCAATGGTAGTCTCCTAAGATGAACCATACTTCCACGATTGTGTAAAATTGGAGGCCCACCGGACCCTGATAAATTGGATCAAGAGCATAGTTACATTTTTACATATACTTACATACTGAAATAGATTATGATCAATTATTTCAAACAAGTAAAACACTCAAAATAGGCGGGCAGACGATTCGTTTCATTATATAGTTATAGACTATGAAAATTGTAAGTAATTAACTATAAACATTTAAACTTTTAAGTAATCAAATGATAATATTAATTAAGTAATTAAGTAATTAAATGATAATATTACTACCACGAATGAAATAAAATCCTGGGCATTACGTGAGAAACTTACGAAGACGAAAATAATGAATATTCGCATTTTGTAATATGGAGCCTCAAAGATCAAGAATCAATAGTTCCCACAGTCAGACAACGAATGAGTTTAAAAATTCCATCAAAATCTTTATAACATCATTGGTAAAACATTTTCGGACATCTTCAGTACCTAATAAAGATAAGGGTTAATACTCCAATTATATCAGAAAATTATAATTTGAACTAAAGGATGTTAGCTGTAAAAAGAAGCCAAACTCTTAAAAAGCCTCAAAGAAATCCAGTATAAATTAAATACCTTACTCGGGAATATTATAACCGGGATAAAATGGTGGGTTTTGGAAGATTCCGCCATATTTTTCCCGGTCAAAAATTTTACCAGTCATAAAAAAAACCCGCCGACTCAGATTATGGGGTTCCAAGGGGGTGGTGATCATCATATTTTACCTGAAGTCTCATATGTGCTAGAGAAGACGTTTGAAGCATTGGATGGAGGGCTGTAACTTTATTGGCGGTTGCTACCATAATTTCGTTATTAAAATCACAATTTGGTTATAGAAATCAGATTTCAGGGTGGACCGTGATTCTCACTTCTCTTCCCCATGAATCAGTGAATTGTAGAGAAGAGAACAATTTATATGTTATAGAAGAAAAAGAAAATAATAATAATATATAATATATATTATAATAATAATGTCTCTAAAGATTGATCGCTTCTCGTGTGCAGTGTGTAGACTAAAGAAAGAGGGAGTTTTTCCCGTTAAAGTAACTTGTGGCCACATCCCGCTAGAAGTGAGTAAACTGTGCCACTATTTCATGGTCCATGGTGGATTGATTACTGGAGCAGTTGAAGATGCAAAGCCAAGGCCCAAGACGTTCCCCAATACCAAGCGGTGGGCAGGAAATTAAGCTCCGGCTGACCTTCAGAGCAGTAGCCCCATTAGCGGACAAAATGAAAGTCTTGTTAAGACAACAATACAACTTCGAATTTGACGGTCAGCAGCTCAGGGGGATATCAATAATGATAATGGCGGGGACATTAGCGATAATGAGAATGAGAATACGCTTTAAGTTTAATGAAGATTTGACTTATTATTGCTTAGATTTATTTTCCTTTAAATAGACGTGTCTTTTTTTTTCTATTTCTGAGTAACATCAATAACTGTAAATTGAAATAACTTCTTTAACAAGTAACAAAAACAGAAATTTCGGTTGAAAATTTGTTGACCTCTGAAAAAAAACTTGAAAGGTCGGTCATCGGTAAATACATGACCGGGATAATTTGGCGGGTTTTTGGAAAGTCCGCCATATTTTTCCCGGTCATTAATTTTCCCAGTCATAAATTAACCCGCTATAATATTCCCGAGTAAGGTAGTCTCTAAATTAAAGCTTGTCTGTTTAATATATGGTTATAACATGACTATAATAGTTCAGCACAATTTTCAATGACAACATAAAATATCTCCGTCATTTTTTTTATTGAATTATTGAAATCTTTCAATTATTATCATCAGAATTTATTACAATATCAATGTTGTATAGAATTTCTAAAAATGGACTAGAGAAACCAAAAAATGCCTTGACAAGTGTACAGCGATGATAACAGTCAGGGGACACCAATACACCCAAATAACCAAACAAAAAGCCTCGAGAGACCTGATGAAAAGTCGAGCAATTACATTGGGCCCCAAGTGCAGAAGGAGAAAAATGGGCAAATAATATGAGCTGTGAACTTAGGAGGCATTTCTAGGTTTTTAAGAATAATTGCCACAACCCAAAAATTCTCAATTACAATTGGCTGATTTGTAATATTTCCAATGGAATGAAGTTTTAACGATAAAATTTAAATAATTGAATATAAAAGACTAAATCAAAATTGTATCCGAATAAAGCAAAAATGCGTGATGAGTACCTCAAAAAAAAATTAAAACAAAAATAATAGAGAAATACACTACCCGTAGTCTGGAGAAAAAGAATTGTCAGGATCTGAACTAGGGTCAATATCTACAGATGCAGTACAAACATGTCCCTTCCAGATGTGTTTAATAAGTTCTGTTTTAAACACACCTGGTCTGATAATCTCTCGAAGGGAAAGAGGAAGTCGGTTCCAAGTGAGATGAGCTCGATAAAAGTAAGATTTAGATATAGCTGAGCCAGGTGGAATTGAAGATATTACTGATAAGTGATCAAGATGTGAGCTTCTCAGTCGGCTTGACCCGGAGAAGAAAGTAAGGTACTGAGGCAGAGTGGTGCATGGGTGGTATTGATGCACTAGGGAATGAAAGAACTTGAGATCATGGTAATCAAACCTGTACTTTAGGGGCAGAATATTTAACTGTTTACAATGGGCATTATAGATTTCCTCTACACTATAGCTTACACCGTAATCATTACGAATCCATTTGAGGGCCCTTTTCTGCAATCCTTCAAGCCTATTGATAGTGCTACTGGACGCTGGTCGCCAAATGATGGGACAGTGTTCGAATATTGAGCGTACAAGAGTAAGATACAAGACTCTTTTCTTGTTCAGATCATTAATAAAATGACAATTTCTCTTAAGCATGCCAAATTTTTGGTTAGCTTTACCATATAGAGCATCGGCCTGGCTATTAAAATTTAGATTAGACGTCATGATTATGCCTAAATCTTTTTCAGAATCTGTATAATCAAGAAGAGTTTGGCCCATAGAGTAAGTGTAACGTGTAAATGGTAAAATGCCATCTAAGGGAGACCACCTCTTAAGTATAGCTAAGACCTTACATTTATCAGGATGAAACTTCATCTTATTAGTTCTTGCCCATGTCATGAGATAATTAATATCGCTTTGAAGTATATGGTGGTCTTCCTCTTGGAATATCTCTCTCCACATTTTAGTATCATCAGCGTATAAAAGGATATTAGTGCCCTGAGAAAGTCCAGAATATATATCATTTATGAAAAGAACAAAAAGTGTTGGTCCGATTATTGACCCTTGAGGAACACCTGACAACACCGGTAGGGTTGCAGAGATAGCCCCATTAACAACTACACATTGCTGACGTCCGGAGAGGTAACTTTTCATAAATTGGAGAAGCATTCCATCGATGTTATAATAAAATTTTAGCTTGTATAGTATTAAGTCGTGGTTAACGGAATCGAATGCTTTGGCAAAATCGAAGTAAACAATATCAGATCTAATGTTCTTGTTAAGAGAGAGGGATAGGCTATCGCAGAATTCAACCATCTGAGTTGCACAAGATTTGTGAGGCAGGAAACCATGTTGACGAGGATCAATTTTATCATAACATCTACTCAAAAGTTCATCTCGAATAATTCTTTCCATGACTTTCATAACTAAGCTAGTCAAAGATATTGGCCTATAATTCTTAATGTCATTCTTGGAGCCTTTCTTGTGTACTGGAACAACAATTGCATATTTCCAATTTGATGGTAGGAAGCCGGATACATAGCACTTTGTGAAAAGAATCTCCAGTGCTGGGGCTAACGTAAAGGCACATTTTTTAAGAACTTCACCATGGATTTTATCCGGTCCCATAGCTTTTCTAGTATTCAAATTCTTGAGAATATCTACTATCCTAGACGAACTGAAAAGGGTAGATACATAATCAATATCATCCTGTGTGAGTGTGTTATCAACATGTACATCATAATCACTAGGCGATGAGAACTGTTGATGAAAAAAGGTATTAAATAGGTTTGCTTGGTCAGAATGATCACTTTTGTGTACATCTTCTAGGTGAATTTGTTCAGGTATGCGAGTATTCTTAGATGTTGCTTTTACATAGGACCAGAATTTCTTTGTAATTAGATTCTCATCATCCTCGTCCTCAAAGCTAGATGCCATCTTGTTGGAGGCAATTTTCTTAAAATCGCTTCTGCTTTTAGAGAACTTAAAGTACTTCTCAGCCTTGCAGGAAGGGTCCGTGGTTTCTTCATAACTTTTGTGTAGCCTTTCTTTTTCTAGGCAGGCCTGATGAGACTCAGCGTCAAACCAAGGAGGTTGAGCCCTGCCTCCAATTTTAATCTTTGGAATATGTTCATTGGTTCTTTGCTCTAAAACTTCCTTAAACTTGTTCCATGATGTTTCCATATTACCAGTGAACTCTGCCTGCCAGTCAATATCTGCAAGGTCTGCATTAAGTGCATCCCAATTTGCTCTTTTAAAATTTAAAGATTCCCTCTTTTGCGATTTGATGCGCTTCACCTTTGATTTCAAAGTAAAGGAGACTGCAAAATGGTCGGACTTACATGGAATATTATGTTCTCAAATTTTTATATCGGAGATGAGATGGGGTTTATCGGTTAAAGGACCAGTTAACTGAAAAATTTGTAGTCTCCAATTTGGCTAAGATTTAAATCAGCTGTGACAAACTGGTAAAGAATCGTATCGCCGAAAGAACCAACTCTCTAGCGTACGTGTAACGCGTGTTATTGCAATAATAAGCTGTGGCCTCGTGACGTCATAAAGTCCCTCAGTGCGCGCTTGCATAGCGTAATTTACATTACAAATGTTTATCATCGTCAATAAAACACGTGTAACTCACTCAAATTTTAGAATTATGACTATTACCCTAGTTCTCCAAAATCCTTATAGTTTTGGCTATCATCCTAACTAAAGGAATAGCTGATTGGATGTACAGTGCTCACGTCATGATTTTAAACAGTGATATAGGTTCTTGAACAGTGGCGGGTGAATGTACGGACGTTAGAAAGTTTCTGCTATTACAACTTATGTCATATGTGATAATTTTGGATTGTTTTCATTGCTTAATTACACAAGCAGGGAGACTGTACCGATTATTTTTCCCCAGTCCATGAAACTCTAACGAATTTACAAAGGATACAGATAAGTAGGAGTTTGTTCAATTCCGAGAGCAATTATATTTATAGCATAGCGAAATTTCTAACTTTAATCTGCAAGTGTCTGCCAGTACAGGAGACAAGAAGTTTGGCTACTTTACGGCCGTTCCTCTGGGACCATTAGTAGAAGTAGCTTCTATCAGAACAGTGCCGTGGGAACAGAATTCCCGCCAAAATACCCGGTTTACCAAATAGTAAAATTACTGATTGGAGGTGTGTACGGTGTGAGGTGTGTTTTGAATTAGACTTCCGGCTTACCTAGTTGTTATCCTAATTGCATTATCATCGGTGCATAACATAAATAAACTACTGGTAAGTTTAAATACCAAGTGCAAACGTGTTCAGTCGATCGACCCACTGAACAACTATAGAATTTCCAAGACCCTATTATTCTCTGGCCATATATTACGGCACGATCGATTGTTAGATGGCTAAATGACCAACGTTAATCTATACAATTCTAAAACTATGAGCTAGCACTTTAATCTAAAAATACCTTTTTTATATTACTCCTGATTTTTACATTTCACGTAAAACATTGTCGCCAGAGGTTGATCATGGACACTAACAGCTTAATTTGAGATAAATGACTTATGAGTTTCTCTAAAGTTAACTCTAAAGTTGTGTAGTCCAGTCATTTATGGACATTTATGGAAATGAACCTGCAAATGTTCTAATACTCACGAAACTTTGCACAGACCTTCCCGAAGTTATGATTAAACGATTTTCGTTTGGAGACATTTTTTTGACTGTGGAGAAAACCCAGGAGGGCCACGCCCATATTGACCCAATAACGTAACCGACCCCTTGCTTCTGAAGGTCGTAGAGACTTCAAAATAGAGGCTTGAACGAAGCCGCATATGCATGTTTATATAGGAGTTATTGAGCAACACATGGCCTAAAATCCTTACTTTTCGATAAATTCGCCAAAAACCATTTTGGGCGTGGTGCTAAGCCCATTTTCGATATGATCGTGATGGAGTCTTCAGACAGGATGCAAAAGAACCGCAATTAGCATATTAATATATGACTTACGAACAAACATATGCCTTAAAGTGCTTACTTTTTCAGTTATTGGCGAAAAACTGATTTTCGGTTCCAGAAATCATGCAAAACTATGGGTATCTGGTTAATTGGGCTATGAAGGCCCTAAATGTTTTTGAATGTGTGCAAATTGTGCAGAATGGCCATGTTTATATACAACTTATGAAGCAACATGTACCCTAAATTACTTACTTTTCGAGTTATTCGGGGGAAAAGATTGTATTATGTCCATTTTTACCTGTAAAATACAGTCTCACGAGCTACTCTGCGCGCAAGAGGGACTTTATGACGTCATCGCCAAAATAATACAAACGCTATTTACACGCGTTAGAGAGCAGTTAGAGATTTAGGAATTTCGACTCGTTGCTTAGTTTGCTATTTGTCACAATCTGTCAAAATATGAGGATAACTTTTTTTTCAGTTAACTGGTCCTTTAAGACTAGATCAAGAATGTTTCCTCCAGTATGTGTTGGACTGGTAATAAGTTGTTCTAAACCAAAGTTACTAAAAGTATCTAGAAAGAGCTGTTCAACCGGATTGCTGCTACAGTAATTCTGCCAAT